CACCCACCCAGCTGACTGTAAGATAGGGTTTAGGGTTTAATTAGAGGTAGGGCTTGTTTAGGGTTAAAGATTTCAAATACTGGCTCGGCTGGCCAGCAGCGTTCACGAGTTTATGGTTCATATAGCTGGTAGGGATCTATAGTGATATATAGGGTACATGGGTATTTGCGAAATACAGGGGTACCCCTATTGTAGCCTCCAATACTATCATCCTGATGAGAGGGACCCCCACAAAGGGTACCCCTATGTTCGGAAACCCCATATGATCTCAATTGTAGGGTTTATGTGGCGCTGACTGCGAGGATCCACCGAAACGAATATGTGGCCAAGACACCCTCTCCGTCGGCCTTGGCTGCTGCACTGCCAGCTCGCGTGACTCACCACGACTTCTACTGCTACTGCTGCTGCTGCTGCTACTGCTACTGCTGCTGCTGCTGCTACTGCTACTGCGGCTGCTGCTGCTGCTCCTCCTGCTACTACTACTACTGCTGCTACTACTACTACTACTACTACTACTACTACTACTACTACTACGACTACTACTACTCAGACGCCTACCACCAATCCCCCGTCCCCCACCTTGAAGGGCCAAAGACTCGAACGCAATCTTTAATCATATCTGGGCACTGTCATAAGACCGCCGCCGTGGGTCAAGCGCGGCTCGACGTCGAGGAGCTGATTCAAACACGAAGGTGGGGAGGCCAGGAGGCTCCCGAAACAAACCCAAAATGGATCACTTGCAAGGGAGGAAATCAGGAAAGCAGCTCCTGGAACGCTCCCTTGCAAGCTTGCTCATGACTGCCTGACTTCTGACACTCAGACCTTACATTCTTAAGGACAGTTCTAGGCCCTAGGAGTGCCGAAGCAGAACCTCGACCTCAAGAGCATTTTCTGTCGCAAGATGATCATGTTAGGGTTTAGGGTTTAGGGTTTAGGGTTTAGGGTTTAGGGTTTAGTTCTTCATGCCACGACCTGGCCTGAGTAGGAGTAGGAGGCCCGCCGTCGAGGATCTGCTTGAAGAAAGCAAAGGTAGGGGCTGGGGGGAGCACTGGCTACGCACTCTTCCACGACATGCCGGCGTGACACCGTGAAAGCACCCTCAACGGAACACCCCGACGCCCTTCTCGCAAGCCGAAGTGCAATGAGGGCCCCATGACTGGCCCATGACACATCATGTATATACAATAACAAACTAATATGATTGTCTTCTTATCTATTAATCTTAATATCTTGCTATCTGACTACCCTGTTACACGTTTATAACATGACAGTGCAGCAATATCGTACTAATACATGATTGTTTACACCATACCAGGCCTGTGTAGGAAATGGCCCGCCGTCGAGGATCTGAGTAGGAAATGGCCCGCCGTCGAGGATCTGATGTTTCAGGAGGCCGGGAGCACTTATGATGCCACTTACGAGGATGCAGGCCATGCACTCTAAGCCAAGCCTAACAATAGCGTAAGGAGAAGTTGCACTGCACCTGGCCTGAGTAGGAGTAGGACCGTCGTCGAGGATCTGGTTCAGATGACACACAATTCCAAATGGCGTTTTTGCCCCCCCGCACCCCTTCTCGAAGAATACATTACTGGATGAGGGACCAGACACCACTTTCAAGGTTTGGGACGTTCTTGCTTCGCATGAGTTCCAGGAAACAGTGGATACATGAACGCAGGCATGAACTCCGAAGGCATTGTCAGTTCTAGCCAGTACATGGGCCACAATGCAAAGAAGGCCTGCGACACATCATGCAGTGCACCTGGCCTGAGTAGGAAATGGCCCGCCGTCGAGGATCTGATTCAGATGAAGGTGATTGCAAAAGCTTGGGAAGGCTGAAAAAGCTCATGATGGATCCCATGTCATCACTCAAGAACAGAAGACTCCTTACATGCAAGCCTTGCCCAGAACTAGTTAAATCAAGCCTTGCCTGGCCGATTCAGGTTGGCAGCACGTACATTGGACACCAGGCAGCTGCTTGATTCAGATGCCAAGGGTCAAGAGGTTGTGAGTTGGGAGCACTCACAATAGATCCCCGCCACGCAAATCACGGGCGCTTGCAAATCGAACCTTTGCATGTAGCGACTGCCATGGCACATCACGCACCGTACCTGGCCTGAGTAGGATATGGCCCGTCGTCGAGGAGATCCTCTGAAAGAGCGCGGGTCGGTGGTGAGCTCGCAGGGTTTGGTGCAGGGGTCAGGGGCCAGGACTGCTGGCGTTTGCAGCGTCAGGGCAGTGCCTTTCTGGTTCAAGTCGCAAAGCTGGAGTCAGCATGAAAACAACAGAGTTGCGCCGTTCCGCCGACTTACCCTGAAACCTAGAAACTCCAAAACCCTGCAGATCACATCATGTAAGGAGGAATGGGTCCTTTGGGTGCTTCCCTAAACCCTGAACCCAAAACCCTGCCTCATGGGATCATCGGATCTTAAGAGGGACCCTAAAATTCCTAAACCCCAAACCCTACGTTCTAAACCCTTATTGTTCTTTACTTCTTATTTACTTACTATTTACTGATTTACGTGATTTTAAGTTTGGTTTTATTTGCTTGTGCTTCTTGTTTTGGGGGTCGGGGAATTGGGCATGGTGAAAAAACAACTCCTTGTGTCGTAAGAATCTCAAGGTTTTGGGGCTTTGAGAAGGAGTTTGGGGTTTCGTTTAAGGCTTACCAAAGCTTACCGTCTTGCTAGATGAGCTTCAGTACAGGATCCTTTGCTCAGGAGGGAGGGAGGGGACTAACTGCTGTTCAGGGTTTTGGGTTTAGGGTTTAGGGGTGTGTCTTCGTCAGGTTGAGGGTTTTGGGGCTTTGCTGGGGCATGACAAATCAGCAAGGACGGAGTGTGCTGCGCCTCCGTACGACCCGCCTCTGTAGGACCCGCCTGACACTTGCTCCGCTCTCTCGGGTTAGTTGCCCTTAGTGTTTAATCGCTCGGACAAACCCTAAACCCCAAACCATCGATGGGGGGCACACGGTCAATCAGTCATTGTGTAGAGCCGCATGCGGCCCTCAGCGATACCCTTCCCACTTCTCATTGAAACGCGACGAAGGTACCCTTCAGCTTTCATACACGTCCACCCCAAAAAACTACCAGAACTACACAAACTAGACTAGACTCAAAGAGTAGCCGAAGAATAAGAAGGAGCCCTTCTTGCGTTTAAGGTGAACGTAAACCCTACAAAAAAGGATAAGGGCATAGTCTGGCACCCCCCCCAAGATTCTTTACAGGTCTCTACCCTCGCTCAGTACCGCTCCTCATTACCCGACAAAATCACATCCCCCAGGTTAGGGCAGGAGAGGAAAGCAAACCTTAACAGCCTTAACATGACCGGAAATATCAGCACATTTAGAGTTTCAGGGTTTCGGGCACGCCCAGCCCACTTTTCCTGGAACTCTGGGTCTCCTTCCTAGGTGCCAAAGATGGAAGAACGGACCTTTTTGGGTGCGGCCAGCAGGGTGCAACTCCAGCAGCTGTGGCAAAAGCCAACAGTAAACCGACCGACTCACTAGGCAGCTTGCATGACGCTCAATGACATGTGGCTACGGCTTTTGGGGGCCGCCCAGGACGAAACAAGGACTGCTCGGACTGCTTGGGCTTCGTGGCTCGAAAGAACGCTCAGGAATCTGAGAGTTGCCGTCCATGTCCAAGCGCTCGCCTCAATCACGTCGCAAGAACGCAAAGTTCTTCGAGATGCTTTCGGCTCTCGAGGCCTTTGCTTCGGTCAAAAAAAGGCGAGATCATGCACAGGAGCGCAGCACAGGAGCGCAGCACGAGTGCCGGTCGTCATTAGCTCACTAGCGGCTACCCACTTGCTGGCACCCTTCGGGTGCCCAAACCCTAAACCCTAAACCCTAAACCCTAAACCCTAAACCCTAATCCCAGGAGTGCTCGAGGCCATGCCCAGACAAAGCCCCAGGCGACTGAAACATGGCGCGCGCCCAGCAGGATGAGGTTTCAAACTTCGAAGCCAGGATGTCTTTGGTACGTGATAGGCGGTTTAGGGTTTAGGGTTTAGGGTTTGAAGTTTAGGGTATACCTGTTCAGGATCTGCTCGAGTAGCCGAGCAGGCGTCTCACCTGATCTAAGCCACGAATACCTTCTTCTCAGTCCTGCGTGCTTACGCAATCCCCTATAGCCCTGTATAGGTTCCCAATACCATGACCTCTGAAAATAAAATTAGACTTTTGGGTTGTGCTTTTAGTAGAATGAGGACTCTACAACAAAGACATGCTCCTGAGTTGTATGCTTGTTGAGCTCCTGGGTAGCATCCCCATCCTCGCTTGTACTTTGGGCGTGTGCATCGCCTGTGCTAGCACTAAACCAACTGTCACGCATGGGTTCGATCAAAATAAGGGGCCATTGTGTCTCATAGTAGATGAAACGAAGACCTAAACTTGTATGAGGCATGGCTTAGGGCAGTAGGAGGCTTTCAAGGCCCCCCCCCCACCCCTCGTTTTGAATCAACCCATGCCATCTGAGGCTTTGCTCCCTGGAGGCACACTTCGCAAAACCTCATGGAAAAAACCCATCTTCCAAGAGAGTGGAACCCACTCTCCTAAGAAAAAAAAGGCCTGCAATATGGAGGTTTACGGAAATAAGAAACCCCCAAGACGGTCCCCAGAATATAGAACCCCTAAACAGTAGGATTCCCTTCTCATAAGGGACCCCACTAAGGTATACCCCTATTTTCGGAAACCCCCATACTCCTACTTTCTTAAGAACAAACAAACAATAATCCGCATTTTACCCTCATAAGGAAGTTTCTTTCATTTTTTGGTGGGTTCTTAAGCACATCGTAGCATACGGTTTAGGGTTCGAGGGTTTAGGGTCTAGGGTTTTCGGTTCAGGGTTTAGGGGTCTAGGCTTTAGGGGTTCAGGGGTTAAGGGGTTTCGGGGTTCAGGGGTTTAGGGTTTTAGGTTTTTAGGGGTTAAGGCTGAATATCGAACCATCCTGACACCCGGTGAGCCCCCAAGACGTTTGCCTTTTGCCCCTCGAGGAGGGGCTCAGATGTACGCCGACTGCGCCACTTCGCGCCGAATGTGCGCGGAGGGTGGCACCTCCCGGCAAGTCAAGAGAATGGGCTTAGGTTGTGCCTCTGTCTATAGGGAAGATGTGACTGCATTGTGCGCAACCAAGCCAGTTTCAGATTCATCAGACTCACGCCCCGGGGAAGATGAGTGCATCACCCTGACAAAACCACTGGGATAGAAAAAAAGGAAAGGCTCTAGAGCTTCAGTGAAAAGAGACCGGCCCCGGCCCCAACCCTTCATGCAATCGAGCCTGTGCAGGTGTGGTTTTGGGAAGCGCAAGGACCCTTGAGCCCCTGAAGATGCCTCCGTGCTCTCCACCTTTTGAGGTTGCGGAGAGCTCGCGCGCTCTGCCTGCAAAGTGCCGGCGTGGGAACGTGTCGGAGGCTTAGGCACGCTACACCCTAAACCCTGAACCCTTAAAAACCCTCCTCATACCCCAAGCTACGTAATAGCACCCTTCTTCTTTTAGGAAGCCTGCGTTCGTAAGCAGAACCCCTATGTCTATGTACATATACATATATGTATATATACTTATTTATTTATTTATTTGTATATTTATATACACACATATATGTATACAAATTAGGGTTTAGGGTCTGTGGTATCATCCTTCATTCAATAGGCAAGAGTGACCCAAGCCCCCCAAAACCGTTCACAGAGGCTCTGTAAATCCGCAGGCTTCTCAAAGATCCCTTTGATACCTTAAACCCTAAACCCTAAACCCTAAACCCTAAACCCTAAACCCTAAACCCTAAACCCTAAACCCCTAACAGAACCACCTCGGAAGCAGCTCTGTCCTTTGGGGCTTGGGCGCCTTGAGGGCTTGGGAGGGATCAGGGCTACCATGTCGTGCTAAAAATGCAACTCTAAACCCTATAAACCCTAAACCCTGAACCCTAACCCTAAACCCTAAATCCTAAACCCTAAACCCTAAACCCTAAACCCTGAACCAAAAACTCTGAACCCTAAACCCCAAATCCTGAACCCTAAACCCTATGCCTCGACAACTTTTCCAGCTTTGCTGCGGATCCAAGCAAAGTGGACTGGATCTCTGGGATGGCCCTTGAAAGGGTTTAGGGTTTAGGGTTTATAGGGTTCAGGGTTTAGGGTTTAAGGTTTAGGGTTTAGGGCTACAGGGTATCAGGCTTTCTGGGCGCATGGCCATGGCCTCTGCTGCGCCCTGCGACCTGACCGACATGGATGCCAGCGACGTTGTGGTGACCTGTGCCGAGCTTCACCGGATGAAGGGGGTTTGGGGTGGGGTGTGTTGGGGCTTTAGAGGGCTTTGGGAAGGTAAGTACGTTTTCTCAGGGGTTCTTTGTATCTTCATGGATTTTAGGGTTTGCTCTTCCAACTTGCAATTTTTTGAGGTTGTGGCGGACGGCTATGAAGAGAGGCCCAGGGTTTTCTGGGGGCGTATCAAGGAACTTCCTTGCTCTATTCTTCGTGTTGGTATCCGAAACGGGTGGCTCAACATATACGCTCACAAAGACTGATCACAAACCCGCAACACTACTGTAAGCTAACTCAACAGGTGGAAGATTTGGTGCAGGAACTTGGCGGCATGCCTTGCTGAATGCTGACCTCAAGTCCGCAGCCGGCTTATAATTCGGGTTTGGGGGTTTAGGGCTTCGTGGTTTAAGGTTTAGGGACTTTTTGGGCAGTATAAGGACGTTTTCGATCATTCCTAGTACGACTATCATGTAAGCCCTAAACCCTAACCCTAAACCCCAAACCCTAAACCCTAAACCCTATCGCTTGAAGCCAGTGGTGATGTTTTCCTGTTCGGCCAAGGGCACAGACAAGCGTCGCGCCAGCTTCATTCCTGAGCCCAAGAACATCCCCGTGACTGACGCTTGGGCTGTAGAGTTACCCTAAACCCTAAACCCTAAACCCTGAACCCTGAACCCTGAACCCTGAACCCTAAGGGTTTCGCTGTCTCCCCTTCTCAGACCAAAGAGGGATTGGGCGAGGCTTTGGTGAGAGCTCAGGGCGATAATCCTTACTAAGGTCTGTGGGTTGGGATGTTCTTTCTCACACCAACAGTCCTTTCATAGGGGTTATCGTGACCCCCTATGATAATCGCGATGAAGGCCCTTTTAGTATAAGGGGGAACATCCCAATCTATGGGCCATATCCCCTTCTTGGGCTCAGCTAGTCAACCCTTGTACCCTTTTTGCAACAGGCATTGGATTTGCAGACTGAGAAACTGCGGTCGTTGCCCAACATCGGCGCAACAGTCGTAAGGACTGCGGCCAACATCCGCCTCGCGAGTAACTCCAGCTGCTTGGTGCCGGGCTTTAAGTGCTCATGATAGGGTTTTTGCTCACAAAAGCGCGCGAGCGATGCGCGGAGAAGAACTTGCGACTGTAAGCATAAAATATTTTTGCCACTTGTTGACACTCAGCCCACACGTATATGTGGCGATGTTTTGCCCAGAGCCCCCGCATGTAAGCCATCGTTGACCACATGCTCACCCAGGGCATTTATCGCACGGAGACAGGTGCCATGCGCAGGTCTAGCGCGACTTTCGAGTAGTAATCCACGAAGTATCACGAGCTGTCTCTGGCTCTGATCCTCTCGTAGTCCTCGTCGAATGCGATTTGCACCTTATGTCCATGGCTAGAACCGCCCGAGACTCTGAATATTCGGCAACGCCTCACTCGTCTTATCAACCACCACATGGGGCTGTTCGACAGTGGGGGCCATCTCAATGGCCACTGCAGTATGTCCGCCAAATCACCGTTCACTGTCTGTAGTTTAGGGGTATAGGCTATGGGGTTTAGGGCTTAAGGTCCACCCACCACCTAGCCTGTCGTAAACGCTGAGATCGTCGATTGCCTGCAAAGATTTGGGGAAGGCTTGGGGCTTAAGGGTTTGGGGGTTTCGAGGGTTTGCTTTAGAATTTCCAAGGGTTCAGATGTAAGGTTGTCAAACACAGCGATTCTACGATGCCCTAATTACGTTACAAGTTGCAACTGTCGGCTACGCTCCCGAATTCCGGACGATTCTCGGTTTCTGAAGTTCCCGTCACAAGCCCTCGCTCTGTCACGTCATTCTCCAAAGGCTTCTTTCAGTAGTCCCATGAAATTCCAAGGGCCCAGGTTTGCGGTGGAGAGGGGCACCCTGACCCCTAAACATCCCTAAACCCTAACACCCTGAAACCCTGAAACCCTAAAACCCTAAAACCCTAAAACCCTGAAACCCTGAAACTCTGAAACCCTAAAACCCTAAAACCCTGAAACCCTAAAACCCTAAAACCCTAACCCTAAACCCTAAACCCTTAACCGCAGTCTGATCTTCACTGTACTTGAAATGGTCCAATGACATCTGCCGGAGCTCCCGACGCCCCCCCACCCCGGCCCCAAACCCAACCCGGGAAGCTTCCCTGAAGGCTCAATGCAAGACGCTGCCCACCTAGGTTAAGGGTTTAGGGTTCAGGGTTTAGTGTTTTAGGGGTTTAGGGTAACCTGGCAAGTGCAGGCACACGCCTTCTCGATTACCGCGGAGTCTACCGTCTGGTATGCGATCTGAAGTGCCTGGCGCCAATGAGTGATTTTAACGACCGGAGATACGCAGGTTTCATTAGGCAGTAAGTGCTGTGGGAGGCTTCCTGCATGCCGAATGCGGGTATATGACATCATCCTCAGTGGGCGGAGGATGGCGGAGGCAACGTCTTCTGGCTGAGAACTTCAACACCAACCCCCCAATGAATCCAAAGCCGAGCGCGCAAGAGTCAGAGTGTGAACACTCTACAACTAGACCCCCATCGAGGAATGGAAAGGCTTGCATTGCTGGGTGCAGAGACCGCAGCACTGCCGAACCCTCAGCAGATGTCTTCCCTCACACACCAGAAGGCCTCGAAAGCTTCGCAAAGCTGCGTGGTACTGGGCGGCCTCTTTCACGAAAGTGCAGTTTCCGAAGAACCCTAAACCCTAAAACCCTAAAACCCTAGTCCCTAAACCCGTTTCCGAAGGTGGTTGCCAGATTGAAAATCGAACTGCAGGCAAGCACAAAACCCTCTAACAGGCGTTTCAAGCGCGAATGCCCCACAACCTCGTGTAACCAATCCCCCGCTCCTTCTGACCACACTGAACCCTACACCGTAAACCCTAAACTAAACCCTAAACCCTAAACCCTAAACCCTGAACCCTAAACCCTAAACCCTAAACCCTCAACCTCATCGGTCCAATGTTGGCCTTCCCAGGGTCAGCACCCAATGCTCCTCCGAGCTGCCCATGGACACCTGGAAAAAATTGGTCTCATAAGCTTGGTTCAGGGTTGGGGTTCAGGGTTTAGGGTTTAGGGTTTGGGGTTTGGGGTTTGGGGTTTGGGGTTTGGGGTTTGGGGGTTTAGGGTTTGGGGTTTGGGGTTTGGGGTTTAGGGTTTAGGGTTTAGGGTTTAGGGTTTCGGGTTTAGGGTTTAGGGTTATAGGGTTATAGGGTTATAGGGTTATAGGGTTGAGGGTTTAGGGTTTAGGGTTTAGGGCTTAGGGTCTGCCGCGCGGTTAACACCCCCCCCCCCCCCCGGCGCGCCGCGCGCGCTAGCGCGCGCTATCAATGATCCCGTCCCGTTGTTGCCATGCCTGTTACCAGAAGAGCTTGGGGTGTCATTTTGTTTATTTCCAAGCATCCATCGGCTTTGATTATTCTGTGGAGGTGTGGCTTTTCAAGTGGTCCCGTCGCTTTACAGGCTTTTGGTACTTTGTGTCCTGCACTAAGTACCTCGCAAGAGCCGCCAGTTTTTGCGAAATTAGGGGGTACCTTACTGGGGTCCGTATTTTCTGGGAATCCTATACTATTTGAGGGTCTACATTAACGGTCTCCTACTTTCGCGTTTGGTCCCCAAGGTCAAGGTTTAGCGCGTAGCGTTTCGGGGATTTCGACCGGTCGGGGGCTGCCCTAAACCCGAAACCCTAAACCCTTTTTCCATCTGGGCTGGGTGGGGAATGCCAGAAAAAGCAGCTGCTGGTACAACGGGATCAGCTCTGCTGGCTGACACGCCACACACGCGCTACACTCTCGACTGGCACGCTTTCAAACATGACAACCACGAGATCGCGTAGATGATGCTAGTGGACTTGGTGCAATAGATGCACATGCGTCTCCAACAGATCGCCGGTCAACAAGATGTGAACACACAAGGCTTCCTGAAGCATTCTACAATGCGCAATGGCGGCCTGCAGATGTGCAAGGTTCAAGTGGGGAACAGGGTACGTCAGGACCCCTCTTCCTTGTGCAGAAAAACGGCTTTGGAACCGCATTCTCCATCTGCCACTGTTGCACATTGCACAAGATACAAGCTCAACAACCAAGGGACTTCCAGGATCAGGGGCTCTCGCCAACTGCTCCAGGCCGACTCATACGCAAATGTGTGATGCAACAGGTTCCACTCAAACACTCGGCGAGACATCACACGCCAAGCATCCCTGTCCGACGCCCACTCCCCCAACCGTTGGGTGATGTTTGGCACCTTTGTTGCATTCACAGGACAAGGCGCATGCACGTGATACAGTTCACAAGCCGTGGCCCACAACCACGCCAAATGACTTCGCCAAGGTCCTGGTTTCCCTGACTCAAAATCCCTGACACCACTAAGCAAGGCTCGGCAAGTCAAGTGCTAAACCCTAAACCCTAAACCCTAAACCCTAAACCCTAAACCCTAAACCCTAAACCCAGGCGCCTTGTGGCACAAGGCGTACAGTGCCGCACAGAGCAGCAGGAAGGCCACAAAGTAGAGAACCCCCAGGATGCCAACAGCTATCCCTCAGAGGCTGTTTTGGGGGTTTATGAAACCCTAGTTATAGGGCTATCCCTCAGAGGCTTTTTAGGGCTTCATAAGGCCGTAGTTATAGGGTATCCCTCAGAGGCTTTTTATAGGGCTTTATGAGGCCGTAGTTGTTGGGGTACTCAAACATCCTGGGCTTTCAGGACGTAGGGCTATTTAGGGTTTCCAACGGCTTCGAGGCTCCAGTACTGCCATCTCTTGTTGCATCATCACGAATTCGACCTGGGCACCCTTTGTTGAGGGAGGTACCCTAAACCCTAAACCCTAAACCCTAAACCCTAAACCCTAAACCCTAAACCCTAAACCAGGGAAACCCAAGTCCACACATTCCCGACCAAGAGTCAAATCAAAGGTGGCTCCGCCAAGCGTGCGGGAAGAGTCATCTTTAAGAAACCACAGGGTGGCTTATTGCACACGAGAGTTATATTGCACCCGGGGTGCTTGCATCAGCACTTTTGAATCTCCTGGAACCTGCTTAGGCCGAGGGGCTGGAGTAGGTCATGCGCGCGTCGCCCTCCAACGCATCTAGGAAGGTTGTGCCCAGGGACAAGAGTAGGATCATCATCCTCTGCACGATGAAAAGTCAGCGGTTTAGGGTTTAGGGTTTATAGGGTCTAGGGGACTAGGCAAAGGAGCTATATTTCCAACTTGCTGCGGGTGCTCTCAGAGCAGCATTGGGGTGTCAATCTTGCAATCCAAAGTGTTAGTCATTCGGGTTTCCATAGCAGAGGAATTGCTGGACCCTTTTGTTGGGTGCCCTAAACAGAAGGCTCTGTCTCCGTATGATCATAGGCGGCTCAAAAATGAAATAAAATCAGCTTTGGGAAGCCTGCCAACGCAATGGAGACGGTTCAGCCGCGCTGGGTCCTAGTATGTCTGAGTCGTTGGGTCCTAGTATGTCTGAGTCGTCCTACACATATGGCGCGAATATATATATATATATATATATATATCTGAATCCTCAAACGTCCATGGAGGACGAGTTTCGCAGGCTTAGCAAGAGCTCTAAACCCGAAACCCTAAACCCTAGACCCCCACCCCCTCTACAACATGTTCCGGTCATGTTCATCGAGCCGTCTGCCAGGTTGATTAATGGCGTTTTCCACGGCCACACGACCAGCTGGATCACCATGTACCTTGTGACGCAGCGGCGCAGGACAGCACACGAGAGCTGTGCTTTGGAGCACCTTTCCCCCCCCCCCCCCGCCCCCAATCTCTCAGACCTGCAAAGTCTGAATCTGTGCGATATACCTGTGCTTGTAGCTATACCCTCCTGAGGTCCCACCATATTCCTTTTTGGGCGGTCCTATAGCCTCCAAGGGTACGTAGGTTTTCGGGGTCGAATCTCGTGGGGCAGAAAGCGAGCATCGTTCGCCGGGGGGCGTCTCGATGACGGCGGTCATGCAGAAAAGCTGTACCTGCGGCAGGTCCTGCATCTATCACTTCGCGTCCAGTCTCGTGGGTGCGGCCTTACCCTACAGTACACATTAAGGGCCCATGCATCAGAACCCTTTAAAGGAGGCTAGGGACCATATTACACCATATTACAACCCGACAACTCCTAAAACCCTAGACGATGCCCATGTCACCATTGCGGCAAGATTATCCTCCACGACTTCTACGACGACGATTTTTACGAAAGGGATCTGATCCCCTATATTTAGTAGTTGAAACACTGGCAATCTTTTAAATATACTTTTTGGGCTTGTCCGATAATGGGGGGGGGGGGTGCGCGGGGGCGACAGGTGTTGGGATCAGGGTATGTTTCGTGGGTATGTTTCGCGGCATCATGAGCCACTTTACCTGCCATTTCGGGGGTCTGTTTCGGGGGCATGCTTCGGGGTATTTTCGCGGGTGTGCAACCCGTGTGCCCTTCTTCAACCTGAGCCCCCCCAAAACGAACAAACCTCTCTCTCTCTCTCTCTCTCTCTCTCTCTCCATATATATATATATATATATATATGTATGATATATGATATATATATATAAAAATCTATATTTATATGTCTATTTTTTCATTTAATTGTATTTCCATTTCTGTCTAGGATATCTTCTTTCCCTACCCACCCCGCCAAAGACACATCGTGGGTCCGTGAAGATGGCCACGGGCAGCGACAGAAGGGGGCCGCGCATGATGAACCAGGTGCCATACCACCAGCAATCCTTGCGTGCGGTTTAGGGTTTCGGGCTTATTTTAGGGCTTAGGGTGTAGGGTTTAGGGTTTGGCCTTTGGGGTGTGTAGGGTTCAGGGTTTAACGGTTGAAGGTTTCAGGCCGGTAAACGAGTCGGAGGTGGTTTTCAAGGGCTTCTAGAAACAAGTCTTCGGGTGCTTTTGGAGATCCGGGCCGGTGAGGTGAGGATGCCATTCGCCTAAACGACTTTAGAGGGTTTATAGGGTCAGGAGGGTTTTGTAGTACCGTCATGGGAGAACTTGAAGCCCTTTCTGCAAACCGTCCCGACACCCATTCCAAGCCGGACATGAGCCTTCAGGGTCTAGGGTTTAGCGTCACGCTGGCATGCGCGGGCGAGGCAACGAGTAACAGGTCGACGGTGAAAGTGATTCCCGAAGCACTCCCTAAACCCTAAACCCTAAACCCTATACGGGGGGAACCCGAAGGGGGACGAGAAACCGAAAAGTCAACCCCAACAGAATCCCTTGATTTCCCTGGATCAACCACACAACAAACCCAAACCACAGGGCACTCACCTTTTACTACCAGGCACATGGCCCAGTCTTGAGCCATAAAATGATTTCCGGGTTTATTAACCCCTTTCAACTTCCAACACTAACTTCTTTCTACAATACCAGTTGCAGCTCCGCACTCCCCCTGTCCTAGGATTTCCTAGGACACATTGGAGGTGCAGATTCTTTGGCCAAAAACTGCCATTAGGGCAGTAGCCTGCTGCTTGACATGCACAATATGGTTTAACGTCTACCAGGACGAAATTATAGCTCATTGGCCAAATCCACTAACCATAGAGAATCTTTTCACCATGATCCTCTCATCACTGAAGACTCCTTGGCCTTCTTCACCACAAACCGTGGTCTTCGCTACGCGAAAAGCTACTGACTTCTACTATCAGGGATTTCCATACCCTTAATAGTAACCACCACATTTGTCAGCACATTGGCTGTTCCAGCGCACCTGTCTCCAGAAAGAGAAAAACCATCCCTTCATCCATACCATCCAATCACTTCTTTTTCCGATTGTTGGCAATCTTGAGGTGAAGTTGCAGCAGAATATACTCCAGGTCTGAAACTGTAAGAACAGGATCCTGTACGCCCCTTTGAATCGAGGATACCAGTCCTTCTCTTTTCGCGTCCTCAATCGCTTGGCAAGGTTGACCCAGCTCTGCACTCACAGCTGCCGACGCTTGCTCATCCACATCAGGAGGACGATCCTTTTCTTCAGGACCTTTCACCACCACCACTTCTCCCTTTTTGGGACTCTGACTTTTCTCCTTCTTCTTCACCTTTCCACCGACGATTGACTTTGCGCGCATTCTCGAGGCTTTTTCACCTGCAGAAACCGCCGCATTGGTTGATGATCCACTCTTCTCAATGGCCGCCGGCATCTTCTTCGGCTTTGGAACCAGGAGGGTATAAGGATCTTCGATAACCACAGGTTTCCTCTTCTTTTTAACCTTTTTTGCCTCCTCCTCAACGATAACTTCCGTCTCAGAAGTCTCAACCACCTCCTTCTCGGCAGGAATATCTTTGCTGGACTCCCTTTCCAGGGACCTCTTCTTGCCCCTTTTGGGATCTTTTTCTTCTTCCAAGTTGGCTCGCTCGAACCATATCCTCAGGTCATTGACCCATTCTTCCACCTCCTCGAGCGAAACGTCATACGACTTCACTACTTCGTGAAGTTCCAGCACGGACAACATCTCCTCGGTCCACGAAACCCATTCTCTATCCATCTGGTCAGCGTCTCCCTTGAACTTCAGGAGTTTGAACAGTGGGTCCGCTTCTGCTCGAGCCAAGTCTGGTTTACCATTCGAAAGAATTGAAATCGCTTCCATCAACAGCTCCGACATTTTGGTGTCATCGTCATAGGTCATGGAATACTCCTCACCATCATCGAATTGTTCAGGAGAGATCTCCTTTTCTCCACCATTTGCACCAGAACTTCTCCTTGGACCATCCCTTGGGGGCGTCCTTGGAGACCTTGGCCTCTGTTCATCCAGCGGAACACCATGCTCGAAGACACACCTGTCACCATAACGACACTTCCCAGACCGAGCAAACTGGATGCACCTCACACCAGTTGCATCATGCGAGAACGCACAATCCTTTCCAGCGAAACAGTCTCTCCCTGCCACATAGTATTTGCACCAATATGAATGTAGCACCACATCATCTTCTGAATGGATGAATTTACAGTCTTCACCGAATTTGCAGCGATCTTTCCCTTTGCTGAACCAATAGCAGAAGCCTTTCTTCCTCTTCTCCAAGCGCTCTGCCTCATACCGGTCCATAGGGCGATTGTGCTCTACATGAACATTGCCATGTACCTGGGGACTGCTCCCTTCACCCGACGTGCTATCAGTAGTTGGTGCTTGGAGTACAGCTGGAAACCCTGGCCTTGGTCCTACCACCTTCATGATTGGTTTCCGGCCAACTCCTGAGCCATGCTGAGACGATCCAAAAACATTGAACTTCTTCATGAGGGCTTTCCTAGTGCCGATCTTCTGCACCCTGTTGATTGGACGTTTCATTGTTCCAACCTTGCATCCAGATACGTTCAAACGACACAACCTCCTATACCCAGCTCTAGATCCCTTTTTCCAAAGAGCCATAAGAATTTTAGAGGCAGTAACGTTCTCCACCTCTACCTTTTCCAACGATCCCTCACCTCCCGGAACAGACCCCTCCAGCCCATCCATATCTGAAGACCTTTCCATCTTTTTTGACACCACTTCGTCGAGGTAGTCTTCAGAAATCCAGGGTAAGTTCCTCTTAGAGGAAGGATTGTCACCATTGTTTGGTCCTTCACCAGGATAACCTTTTGTGCTGTCAAAGATCTTCCCAGTAGTGCGGTCCTGCGTAGAGAAGTTGGAAGCAACACGAGAGTACACTGACCACAAGAAAATCCTTGTGCCCGCCAGTCTTGACGACCCACTGGATGTCTCCTCTTCTGGAGAGACTTCTGGCGCTTTGCCATCCCTTCCAGTGTCACCAAGTGTCTCACCTCCAACATCTTCAATGGGAATAAGGGATTCATTGTTCCCTTGATCTAGTACCGCATCTTGTTGATCGGGAATCTCCAGCACCATTCCTGTAGGGTCCACTTCTTCATCAGCATCGTCGTCCATTCTTCTCCAGAGAACTTCCAATTGATCAGCGCAAGTCACTGCCTGGAGGAACTCCATCATTTGGTCCCTCCCGTGCTGCCAGAGAAACTCAGAATTCACCACTGTTCCTTGGCCACCAAGTTTAAGGAATGGAGCGACCAGATTGGCTACCCTTGCCATAAGTTCCACATGAACTTCCATGCCTGGACTGCGACTCCAATCATAGGCTATTGCCTCCATAGCAGTTCCAAACTTTCCAGTATCCCTGAATTCCTTTTCCAGGCCAGGGGAAAGCAGTGCACCCATCACCGAAAGAGGATAATTTCCCACCACCGGCAAGCACGGATTGTCATGGAACGAATGATGCAAATCACAATAATATCCTTGATCTCTTCTTTCAAAAAGGAGTCTCCCAGTATTCAACTGGGCGTTCAGTTCATCCACTTGAACCATTTCAGCACATATTCTCTGTGCTGTGTACGCCATTGCTGGCCAGATGGAACGATCGGTCAGACCACGACGCATAACCCAATCAGTTGTTGGCGACTGAATCAGCGTCCTTGGATCATACACCAGAACTACCATCGCACCGTCACCCATTGACTGATCAGCATCGTCCTCCAGTGCCAGGTTCTCATCCTGTTCGCTTGCACCCTCGGATGACATGCTAATAACCAAATTTCGATCCATCTTATTGGACCCTTTTTGGCAGTCTCTTTGCCCGACCGGCAACTTGCCAACTGCCACCTTCCAATAAATCCGATTCAGAAGGCCTTTAACCAGCAATTGCTGAAGGTCACTCCTCACCAAACCACCGTCCAAATTCTTCGCATCATCACCACGGAGATCATTGCTCCCACCTTCTCCTTCATTTTGGTCAGTCTCCTCGCCGGGAATTTGCACTGCTCCTTCCAGCGCCGTCTCCTGTCCAGCCACTTCATGCCCAGGAAGAACTTGAGCGCTTTCAGATCCATTCACCTGTCCAGCAACACCTTGCCCAGGTAAAACCTCATCCGTGGAGCCCACCGCCAGCGAACCAACCATAACTGGGCCATCCCTTGCTCTTTTTTGAGACTGTTCAGTTCGACGAGAAGGTTGTGGTAGCGAAAAAACTTGAGAAGTCACTTCTTGGCGGGTCTCCCCCCGCGACGCTTTGTCGCGTTCTTTGCCAAGGTGAACCGATTTTTTCCGCCCGGCATTGGGGCCGGAAGAACCACCCATCGGAACATTGCCACGAATCGCAGTTCTCTGTGAATCCCTTTCTTGCAAAAGAATTTCCCGCATGCGGTGCACAGCATTGGTCTCTTCCTCGCTTGAATCGCTTGAGGAAGCGGCATAAGAAACCAAAGCCTCCGCCTGATCATCATCGTCCACCACATCTGCCCACGCTCTGCTGAACCGATACGACAACCCACCACGAGGCTTCAGTTCCAGTGGTTTTGGTTTCTCCACCACTTCCGCCGGTTGCGCTCGTCGCTGTGAGCGAGAGCGTGGCACCTGTCGCACCTGTTTTTTGTCCAGCAAGGGCCTTCCCCTTTTCACAGGGTTTGATCTTGACCGATATTTTTTTGTTGGTGGATTCACCGGTGGCATTCCAACTCCCACCAACTTCAGCTTCTGTACACACAGCGGAGACCTCTGCGCCAGCGTCCAAGCGTCACGGTACTTGACCTTATCAAAAAGCTCCCGATAGGAGCCTCTCGGCATCGTTTTTGCACCGGAGTCTTCAGCTTCACGCACCTGAGTGAGGGTTCGCACCGCCGCTCTTCCAGTCCCTTTGTTCCCAGAAGATTGTTGTACTCGTACAGATGCATCAGAAGGAACTGCCTTTTCCGGTCCTCCCGGTCGATATCGGACCTCACCCACCAATTGCAGAATTTTGCATGCGGTCACCTTGTTGATCCCTTTGTCAACCAAATCTTCCACAAAGATGAACTCTTGCAAGTCCGACACATTGGTCACACCAAGGGTAATCATCACCTCACTTACATGAGGGGTATACACCCACAGGTGTTGGTTGCGAGCCATCCAATTTTCAATTGGCTCCTCTGGATTGTGAAGCTGAGTGCTAGTAGACGCAGCCACCGAATTCTTTTGTTCGTCAGCCTCTTCTTCATCCAGAATACCCTTTTCACCATCTTTTTGTGACACATTGGTCATCTGCAGCGCTTTTGGTGCTGAGGAGGACGAAGATTCTGCTCCCCCACTTACTGGTGGTTGAAAAGCGTTCCTATCAGGAATCTCCAATCCCTTTGCTCTTTGAAAGGACACATGGTTTGCCACATTCACCAAATGCTTCAACTGGGCCAGCCGGTCCTCAGACATCTCTTCGTGAGAATACTTGCAGCCAAATCGCACACGACATCTCCCTTTGAGATAGTAGTCGAAACAGCACTGGTGGAACCCCGCGTCCCTTATTGCCCTTCTGGAAGCATTGTCCCAAGATTTGCCAGGCTCCCAAGTCCCTTCCAATGCCACGTCATCGTCGTGGAGAAACTTGCATGCAGTCCCATATTTACAACCACTTTGGTTGTAATACAGACACAGCCGTTTCTTCGTTTCACCCAGCGTAGGCTCACCTTTTGATGTCCCTTTGCCATAGTTGTACTGGGCTCGGAAGGCCGAATCCTCCCGCTCCTGCTGCACCTCATCCACTGTACCTTCATCAGTTGGAGGGCCACCGATGTCCCCATCCTCGTCACCAGTTTTTTGGCTGTTCTTTGGCTCAGTTGGCTCTCCTTCAGGCCACCCTTCACCGTAGCGACGATGTTCATAGGAACACCCATCTCCATTTCGACACCTCCCTTGATTGAAGAACCTGCACAGCTTACTGTATCCAAGTGACACAGTTTTCGGAGTCGTGTGAGCCTTTTTGTACTGATCGGGATCCATATAGGTCTCTATCGGCCTGTTTTCCCTCTTGCTCATCTCCTCGACTGCACCGTCAAGCTCTTGCAGAAATCGCTTGGTGTCCAACCACAGCTCGTTCCAAAGCTCATCTTTTCCCTTGCTCAGCAACATTGCCACCGCTTCACCCACAACTGGTCCACTAAATCTTCTTTTCTTGCGTGCCAGTTCGTAGAGCGCGTCGTGGTACTGCTTCCGAGAAAAAGTGGTTGTTTCTTCCACACCGACACGTTCTTTCTCCTCAGGCTTCCAACCATCACTTAGCAAGATGTTGTATGCACTCCGAGCCTCATTATTCAGGAATGCATGATCTGCAATACACTCCACAATCACGTCCATTGAACGACTCAGCAACATCCCAGTGATTTTGCCCACATAGTCCTTATCAATTGTTTCATCTTCCAGGAGATTTCGACAGATCTTCTCTCCATAGAGCTGTTTCTGCTCCGCCTCCTCTTGTTCCCTCGAGGATGCCTTTGACTCGGCGAACCACTCACGAGACTGCGGTTCCTCTGACTTCCAGTCCCATTGACCATCAGAACCTTTGTACCATTGACCAGTCTGCCATGAGCCTGTCCACCATGTACCCCAGCTGCTGTCCTTCCATTTGCGCAGCTTTGAAGAGGAATCCTCCTCGTCCTCTTCCAAAACCAGAAAGGTGTCCAAGATTATGGTACCATCATCTTCCACTCGTTTCACTGTTCCATTGACAGTATCACCAAATTGGAACTGATGTACATTGTTCCCTTCTGCAGGAATCAATACATTTAGATCACCATAGTCCAAAAAAGCTCCATACCCATTGATGCAGCGCACTAGACCAGTGATCTTATCTCCCTCTTCATAGCAATGTGTCCCAGGTGATTCCAAGGCTCCCGCTCGGGGCACTTTCTTTGCATGCTCTTCAGAAACCATCTCTGTATCATCGGCTCCTGGCGCATCCTTTGTCTTCACCTTTGGGTCACACTGCTCGTCCTGTTCCACGAGTCCCACAAGCTCATCTTTTTTGTGCTCTTGGATTTCAGGACTTCCCTTTTTCTCTGCCAAAGGCTTTGCCTCATCTGCTTCAGTTCGCTCGGTGTCGACTTCCGGTGAACTTCCAGACGGCAACGCTTCTCCCTTCATGGGAGTGGACCCTTCATTGGTGTCCTTTGTCACACCTTCTGCAGCAGGCAAATTTTCTTCCGCTGCAGGGCGATTGAGTTGATCATCCACGGCAGGCACACTTTCTTCCACCGCAGGCTCCTTTGGTTCCATGGTTTCCAAAGGAGAATTGCCACCATCATTGACCACAGCTGCCTCATTGGCTCCGGTGTAGTCCTTGTCATTTCGTTCCTCGCGGCTAACTTCAGGTTGCACCAGTGCGTCCACCTGTGAACCTCCATCATCAGCTGCTGCGGAGACCTGCGCCCCATTGTTGCAGTCGCCCGTGGAACGTACCACCATATGCACCTCAACCCGTGCCTCATTCGCACTCCAGGTACTATCTGGCGCATCGACCCGCGCTTCATTGGCGCTCCAGGCCTCATTTTTCTTATCAACCGTGTCTCCAGCAGTTTCAGAAGTTTCCTTTTCCCTTTGAATGGCAGATTTCTCGGCACCAAACGAAGAGACCTCCTCAGTCGTAATGCACAACTTTTTCTCTTCGTCATCCAAATCTCCAGGGCCATCTTCCTGAACGACAGGCACCACATCCACCACTCGCTCTTCTGTAGCCGACACAATTCCGATCTCCACATTGGGCATTTTTTCTTCTGGACCCACCGATTCCACCGCTGCCACACCCTCAGAAAGCATCCCCATTTCTTCCCGATCCAGATGTTGAGCTTCAGCGATGTCTGCTCGGTTTCCAGAAATCCCCTCTTCATCAGGAGAACCCGAGGTCGGGGCGTCACCACCACCCCTAGGACCGCTATCCCCGATAGTAGAGGAAAAATCCTTTTCACTTACACTATTTACACCGCTGTTCACACTTTCCATGCTACCCTGCTGTGCCCTAGAAGACTCAGTAGATGATGGAGACGAGGTAGCACCCAGCGTTGGCTCATCTTCCACAGGGACAATGCCCATTCCAACACCTGGCCCCTCGCTATTTCCAGCCATTCCAGTCTTCTTAGGCAACACCCATCGGGTATCACCAGTGTCCAAGCAGTAAAAATATTCTCTCCCATCCTCGTGAAAATGGCGTTCCCATGTCTTCCCATCGCAGTCGACGATTGGAAGGTCAGCAGCCTGAGACGCTTTGCCTCCACCACCAGCGTATAAGTCCTCGTCTGACTCTTGCTGTATTCTTGCTGCCTCCAATTCCAGGATTTCTCCTTCGCTCATCACCATAGCAACAGGAACGACTCCTTCTGCGTCCCCAACCACGAGGATACTGCTTTTTGTCGCAGCAACAGGCGCAGTTTCTTCCACTTCACCTGTCAACAGATCACCACTTTCAGCCGCGAAACTCACCTTGTTGCGAGCTCGCTGGGAAACAGGGATAACATCCCCAACCAGTTCTGTCTGGCACCCTTGCTCCACCATCTTTGACGTAGAGGAGCTTGTTATTGGCGCTCCCGTTGATTCAGCAGATTCCGCAGCTCGAAGAAGATGCCCATGTTTGCTCAGAAGGCGCAGCAAAACTGCTTCCATCTGGTCTTCCAGTCCTTCCACCACCGGCTTCTCTTCGCCACGCATACCACCAACATCAACCAGAGCTTCCTCATTGGGAACGACTTTTTCACCCGTTGCAGACCTTTTGACACCACCATCACCTTGGTCGCCCACATTGGAGCTTGATGATGCCACCCCAGTCCGTAACCAGTTGGTCGCCATGGCTTCAAGCTTCCACCCTAAAGCCGAAACACAAACCGCAGGGAACCTAATTTGGGCTCATAACCTACGGGGGGAACCCGAAGGGGGACGAGAAACCGAAAAGTCAACCCCAACAGAATCCCTTGATTTCCCTGGATCAACCACACAACAAACCCAAACCACAGGGCACTCACCTTTTACTACCAGGCACATGGCCCAGTCTTGAGCCATAAAATGATTTCCGGGTTTATTAACCCCTTTCAACTTCCAACACTAACTTCTTTCTACAATACCAGTTGCAGCTCCGCACCCTAAACCCTAAACCCTAAACCCTAAACCCTCTAGCCTTGAGCACTACAGCCAGGAAGGACAGGCCCGCACCAAGCCCCCCTTTCCCCCCCATGCTCCAGGATTTAATAACAATGCAGCCCGAACATGGGCGAGCCTGCAGGCACGATCCCCCCCCCAAAGGAACGAGCGGACCCGGAAAGCATGAAGTCGTAGAATTGCGCCAACACTTATGTCAAGGGCTTCCCAACCCCCCCCCCCCGCCCCCATAAGGGTTTTAGGGTTCAAGGGCTAAGGGTTTTTAGGGTGCAACGAGCCCAGCCCCGAAGAGCTAGTCTGAAGCCACGTGCAATGCGGGCAGCCGTGCGGAAACGGAAGAACAGGAAGCGGGTTGCGGTCAAAAAGAACCTGTGGGTCAAGGTCACACGATTGCCTTCAGAGCTGCGGCCAAAAAATGGGGTCATATGACCTCTCTCTCTCTATATGTGCATATATGTTTTCTTGATATGCTACGACGTAACTGCTATTCAGGTATATGAACCATCGACACTTCCAGCAAGGTACTGCAGGTACCGCAACGGATCCGAGAACCAAGCGATTCAAGCCCAGAGCCATGTTGCCCATGCTCAACCGCACTGATTCCCGAAACGGAAGTTTAGGGTTTAGGGTTTAGGGTTTAGGGTTTAGGGTTCAGGGTTCAGGGTCTAGGGTAGGGTTTAGGGAACGTAGGGTTTAGGGTTTCTAGGGTTGGGGCTCTCTGGTGAACACCTAAAGATCCTACATCGCTCAATGCAGCACGAGGTCAAAGACCGGACCGGACTTACCTTTCTAGTTGTTACCGATGGGTTTAGGGTTTAGGGTACTACCGGTGTGGTACAGTAAGGATGTACTGAAGGCTCAAGGTTACCTGAGAAGACGGATTGAACATGGCTTACATTGACAAGGTTGGAAGTCCAGATCGTGTCGCAAGCATGAGAGGTGTCGAGCGTCGGGTTTAGGGTGTGGTGGAGTCACCTGCAGCCAGCCCGACAAGACCCTCGCCCCAAACCCAGATCCAATATTCATCAGCCCTCGAAGGTGTATCACGACCCGAAACCAAGGCCTAATGCCTCAACCCCAAAAACCCAAAATCGCATCGATATGTTCCACGACAGGGCACACGTTGCCCTGGCTCGAAAGTCGCGGCGCCAGAAGGGTACACTGCGCACAGGGCTTTGTGGGATGGCTTCCATAAGGCCTTCGTCAGGGCCTAGGTGGCATAGGGGTTGGGGGTTTCGTTAGGGTTTAGGGTTTATAGGGCTTAGAGGAAGCATTCATAGGGGCTTGTAGGGCTTGAGAAGGCTTGTAGGGCTTGATAAGGCTTGTAGGGTTTTTAGCACGTAGAGGGTTGATAGGATTTGGGGTTTTCGACGCTTACGCTCGGGCTCGGCAAGCAAGAGTGCCAACCTACGCCCCGTTTTTGCTCTACACCCTAAACCCTAAGCCCTAGAGACGGCAGGCCCAAACCGTCTAACAAGCTTCCTTCCCGGAATAGGGTTTATGGGTTGTTCTGAACGTCCTCCCGCTCAGCTCTCTCTCTCGGCCATGCCCAATTTCTTTTCTTTTTATGTATGTATGCACTTGAGGATCGAATAGGACTGTGTCTAAGATATGACAGTGTTGAAAGGCTGCTTTGTTAACCTATCCCTCAAAAAGGATCTTCTCCTCTTCAAAGGTTTGTCGATGTTGGCTCTGCATATTCGGCAGTTGGGGCATTGACGGCGTCGGGGTTTAGGGCCGGTTAGGGGTCTTGTGGGGTCGTAATTTCGCCATGTTGGTATCGTACCTTCCTTAGCTGACCCTAAACCCTAAACCCTAAACCCTAAACCCTAAACCCTACCAATCCTAAAAACTAAACGTTTAGGAGCGCAAGAAAGACCTGAAACTTGGCCAACCCCCTCGAGGTTGCCATTGAAAACTGCAAGCCCAGCTGCGCAGACAAGAATGGACCAATACAACGCCATGCTGGCCGTCATGAAGATTCCGAAAACCACCTTAGGTCGGCGTAGCAGCACCTCTTGTGGGTAGGGCCGGGTAGGTAGGGTTCAGGGTGTGGGGTTTTAGGTTTAGGGGCCTCCCCTAAACTCCCAGCCCAGCAGCCATAAGGGTGTGGTCGCTGCTCTCCCAGCACAGGACGTCGCTGAATCGAAGGACACTGGCCCTGAAGGGTTTAGGGTTTAGGTTTTAAGGGTTTAGGGTTTTTCCATCCACTCAAAACAGAGATACAGGCCAGAGACATTGTCCTACACGAAGGCTGCGCGGTGTCGCTTGTCTGTCCAGAGGTTTCACAGTTGGGAGTGGGGCCGAAATCAGTTCACATCTGCAAGTATGGCCCATAGTGCAAAACCAATTGGAGTGGTCAGGCCACATAATCTTACACACCCAGCTCTTTGGGGCGGGAGAGATACGTACGTTAGGTTCGGTAGGTTCAGCTTTCTGCTGATCTCTCTGCGTCATGCATTTCCAGCAGGCAAAGAACCCAGGTTCGGGGTATAGGGTCAGCGCCCAGTGCCCACGCTCCCCCGCGCCCCCCCCCCCCCCCCCGAAGGGTCCATGTACCTATATAGCATATACTTGGGCCCTACAGCTACTTCATAGGAACCCCTTTAATGGCCCTAAACCCTAAACCCTAAACCCTAAAATCTTTGGGCCCTGGATCCGGCCTGCCGTTGGGATGGCGATAGCACATGAAGGGCATCAGCGCAGTCTTGGACATGATCGTGAAGCCGATCTGGAACACCTGCTACAAGCTTGGGCAGCGCTGTTTACTACTATTTCTACCATTATTAATATTATTCCTAATTTTTGCCATTACTGTGATTACTATTATTAATTGCTATTCTTACTGTTGTTAGTAATCGTACTATTACTACTTGTTGCAGACTGGGAAGAAAAGGCCGCGCAACAGTTGCCGAGCGAGCGAAGACAACTTTCATCCTCCATGTTCCCAAGCTGAATAGCTCTCCATAGGGTTCGGAATTTGTTCAGCAGATCAGAGCGGCAAGAAGAAAAGGCGTAGATTCTCCAGAAAACACGTCGTTGAGAAGTTTGCTCAAACTCATCACACCAGAAGCTACAGACTCCTTGGACACCAAATGAACCCGAACATTGAAGGAGTATCATTCCTGTTCAGGTATATGAACCCGAACCCTAAACCCTGCACCTTTTTGGGTTCTTTTGGTTCCCAAGCCTTCTGCGGTGCCCATGCAAGCCTCACGCAGCGTGTTATTTTCATCCAATCGCCACTTGCAGGTTGCTCTTCGCTCAAGCAAGAATCATAAAATACTGTGATCATAATAACAATAATAATAAGAATAAAATAGAACACTAATAAAGGCAGTAATAATACTGTCTTGTGCTCACCATATGTTAATATATTCATACAACAATTTGAAAATGCAATAAGATAAACCGGTATACTGGGATAACGGGGAACCTTATTCCCTCATTCCCTACTAAGACCAGCAAGTCGTAGGGTTCCCTTACTCCCTGCCCAAGGCCTGCCCAAGCGTGCTGAGGGCTTTGCCCTTGACGAAGCCATATCTGGCCTGGGCAGGGCGAACTCACATGTGTTGAGTGGGGTTGTGGCCTTAATTTTAAACCGCACCCCAAAACCTGGAACCCTGAACCCTGGAACCCTGAACCCTAACTCGTTTTGAACGAGCTCTCTCTCAAGTCCCTGGGTGCACAAAACCCGAAACCCTAAACCCTAAACCCTTTCTTGCCATGCCCAGAGTCCGGGAAGAACAGCGACGTTGAAGCACAAATGCCAAGCCTCGGCAAAGCTGCACTTACCTTGGGGGTTTAGGGCTTAGGGGGCTGGTTTAGGGTTTAGGGTTCAGGGCTTAGGGCTTGGGGCTTAGGGTTTAGGGTCTAGGGTTCACCTGAAGAGTGTGAGGCAACTCTCTCTGCTCGGGGCTGTGCCGAGCTGCCACACCAGTGCTGCAGGCCAACACAGAACGCTGACCACGTAGCGCGTGGCGGAGGACACGCCAACCTAGCTGCGTTTGGGGTTGGGATGTTCCTCCTTAGACTAACAGTCCATAATAGGGGATTGATAAAGGGTGGCGTGCAAGAATTCCTATTCAGGACTGTTAGTAGAAGGGGGAACATCCCAAATTTTGGGCTTCAAACCCTCTTGGCGATGCCGAGAATCCTCGGGTTTGGGGGCCCTAAGCACACACGCTACAGATATCAGGAGACCATTGGCAAACCAAAAGAACCCCAACAGAGTTTATGGGTCATATTGCCTTAATAATCCTCAATGGGAAGCATTGCAGAACAGGGCAGAGGGCCCCAATTTTTGAGGTTCATCGGGTCCCCAAAAGATGAAGCTAAATATTTGGAGGGGACAGGGACCTCACCCTAAACCCTAAACCCTAAACCCTCAGTTTCCCTCCAGGGGGCGCAGTCGAAGTTCATGGCCTCAAGGTCCAGCATGAAGATGTTGACGAAGTCCATCAAACCCTTCCTGGGATGCCGTAGAAGCGTCCCCGAAACACCGAATTTAGGGTGTTGAGTGTTGAGGGTTTAGGGTTTAGGAGTTTGGGGTTCAGGGTTTAGGGTTTCGGGGGGAGCAAGGTGGCTTTCTGGTTTAGGGTTTAGCTTTCTGTGTGAACAGGTGTCCGCCTGGCTCGATCAACAAAAATCTGCCTGAGCTCTAAGCCCCCAGGCACAATCCTAGATCCCAAACCCCATAAAACCCTTAACTCTTACACACAAGAACCACTTGTTGCTTAAGAACCACCCAGAAATAAAATGTTCTTTCCTTGCAAAGGGCAAGGTAGGGATTCGTACTATTTCGCTGGTTTTTTATATTTTTTTTCCGCGGGGGGGGGGGGGGGGGGGGGGGGTATTCAGCAAGTAGCGGATGAACCTTGAACCCTGAAACATTAGTCCTATAAACCCTAAACACCGTATAATACACCCTATAAGCCCCATAAACCCTATAGGCTCTATAAGCCCTATAAACCGTGAAACATCATTCCACCCCCCTGAGACCGTACACCCTAAACCCTAAACCCTAAGTCGGCAAAGCTGCATGTATGAGGGCCACCGCATGGAGACGAGGCCCACCTCCGGTTGGCTTCAGGTTTCTTTTGGGTTTGTGTGTAGGGTTTAGGGATTTAGGGGTTTAGGGGTTGAGGGGTTGAGGGGTTGAGGGGTTGAGGGGTGTAGGGGTTTAGGGGTTTAGGGGTTTAGGGCTTTAGGGGTTTAGGGGTTTAGGGCTTCAGGGTCTGCAGGGTTTAGGGTTTGTAGGGTGTAGGGTTTGTAGGGTTCAGGGTCTGTGGGTTTTGTAAGGTTTGTAGGTCTTCCAGAACCGAAGAACGGAAGTGGGAGTCACCGAGATGGGCAATTTCGGGGACTGGGTTTAGGGCTTCGGGTGCTTGCAGCACCCAAAACCCAAAACCCAAAACCCTACGGAAAAGCCATGTCTTGCTGCGCGAGCTGCCAAGCCAATGGTCTGCAGCAGCGTCAGAGTCATGCCAAAGGCAACGGCCGTGCTCAACATAGTGGAGGCCTCAGCTAGCTGGGGGATGAGGCAGGGTTTAGGGTTTAGGGAAGCACCAAGATAGCCCCCAATGCTCCTTAAGGAATGTGCTTTAAATCATATTCCGGATCCCTCTAGAAATTAAGGCATATGCGTTAGTTAAGGTTTAGACCTCAGGTATTTAGAGCTAAGGCTGCAGGAATCCGTAGAGGAACCACTCGAACAGGTTTAGGGTTTAGCTTATGTTGCGGTTGCTTGCGGCAAAATTGCGCCCTAAACTTCAATTGCAGACGTGCACTCGACGATGATTGATTATTGAGGTATTTTTGCGTTGCCACCGTAAAGACGCACTGCAGAAAGTTTACCGGTACATGGGTTTAGGGTTTACGGCTATACGGACCATAAACTCTTTTCAGTTTGAGTAAGTTGTCCCGAGTTCCACGTCTTGGGGTGAGCTTTTTAAAAGCGACCTTTGTAAGCCATTGTGGATTGTTCTAAGACCTTCGCGGGGACGACACGAACCTTACGGGCTTGTGTTCCATACCTGTATACCTAGGGACATTATCGCGGGAAGTTGTGGCAGCCCAGAAACCATATTGCAATCAGGGCACCCTTCTTGGGTTGGTTACCTTATAATGAAGGAACCTTGAACCAAACAAAGGGAAAGGGTGCCAGTGGGCTGCCAAGGGTATATGATCCAACATCTGTGATCCCCCCCTTCGTTTTGTCACAGGCAGCCTGCCTTGCTGGTCATAGGGGAGTTCATGAAGTAGTAGAAGAGCGGAATGCCTCCAATCCATCTTCATCGACTATGGAACTGCAAGGGGCTTTCTGGGTTTAGGTTGGCGCGGCTTAGTTTGACCACAGCTGGGGCACCAAAACCAAGCGGAGATTCTAAGGGGGTGGAGGCCCTAGGGGCCGTTGCTGGTCTCAAGTGTGTTTCGAGCCTCAAGGTCCCAAGGAACATCGGCCAGAGTGTGGCGCGGCTTTGCAGAGTTAGGACCCTTTTCGGATCTTTTCTATTGCAAAAGCGTTTAGAACCCCCTCAACTTCCATATATTCTGAAACTTGACGGCGGTGCACCAGCGGCCATGATCGCCACCCCTAGAAAGAGGAAGATCACATCCATGTCCTGAGGGCAAGGAGGCGAATTTGTGACACCTTTTCCAAGAGACATGACCTGACTTGAAAGGAGTCATGAGGCCCTTGTTTACGGCAACTAAGGGGCCCTCCCCGGAAATTTTGAATGAATCCCCGAAAACAAGCACCTTTCTAAGGCCACTGGAAGGTCTGAATTCTATGGGGCTGTTTGGTTGTTGCTTACTAGGCTCTGGGGCGGGGATTTATGGACAAGGAGCCGAGCACTGGCCGCACCGGTCACCAAGAAATTTGTGTCCCACCTAGCGGCGCACTCATTGGCCTTTAACAAGAGAGCACACACACACATATAAATATATGCTACCCCCCCCCCCCCCCCCCCCCCAAAGATCTAGGTATTTTCATGATTTGGCGATGTCAGGTTGAAGATTTGCGTGGGCCCGGAGGCAATGTGAAGTTGAAGATTTGCATGGGCCCGGATAGGTGCAGATGAGTATAGGACGTCGATTGGAAAGATAAGCAAGATACCATAAGCCCAGGAAGTATTCAAGTGCATAAGGTGATGTGGAGAAACACTGTATTCCTGAAGACGCGAGAATACTGTGAGCAAATCTCCTTTCACTATGTTACGGGTTCTGGACCTTCCAAAAGCCCGACTTACTCTCAAGTATGTGGGTGTTCATCTTATCATTCCCAAAGGACCCCCAAAAAGAGTTATCATTTCTCAAAGATAAGACTCATTTATACACTATCCTCACTTACAAGTAAACAGCTCAATAAACCCTACTCGATTAAGGTTCAGATTAATTCGATCAAGAAGTAGGGTCAGACCCTATTCCAAGATTTATGTGTCTTAAAGGTTTAGGGTTTAAGGTTTATATAGGCATTTAAACCTAAGCCGTCAATTCGACCGAAACATTTGAACTTTAAACCCTCTTGGGTGTAAGGTTGAAAGGCTTAGGGTTTAACATTTAGGCATCTAAACCTCAACCGCCATTTAAACCTGAACCCTTAACCGTAAAACCCTTTTGGGTTGAGGCTTAAAAGGTTTAGGCCTTAAGATTTAGGCATTTAAACCTAAGCCCATCGAGTGTAAATCTTAACGGGCCTAAACACTTAACCTTTAAGCCCTATAGGCTATAGGGTTAAGGTTTAAAGGATTAGGGTTTAAAAGTTCAATAGTAAGCCCATAGAGTTTAAGCCTTGAGGGGCCTAAACGCTTCACCTTTAAACCCTATAGGCTATAGGGTTAAGGTTTGAGGGTTTAGGTTTTAAAAGTAAGCCCATAGAGTTCAGACCCCAAGGGGCCTAAACACTTAACCTTTAAACCCTATAGGCTATAGGGAAGGTTTAAAGCTTTCGGATTCAAGATTTAGGCATTTAAACCCAAGCCCACCTTAAGGGTTTAAGGTTTTAAACCCTCAAGGCTTAAGAAATACCCTAAGCCTTTAGACCCTATAGGGCTGAAAGGTTAAAGAGAGCGTAATGTCTGGGCATTTATACTTTCAACGCCTATAGGGTTAAACCCTTTTAACGTTTTAGAGCCCTACAGGGCTTCAGGGTTCTGACCCTAAAGGGCTTAGGGTTCTCGTTTACATGCTTAAACCTTAAACCCTTAAGGTTTAAGCTCTATGGGCTTGTGTTTTAATGCCAAATCTTAAACCCTAAGCCTTTCAACCTTAACCCTATGGCCTATAGGGTTTAAAGGTTGAGCGTTTAGGACCCTTAAGGTTTATAAACTCTATGGGCTTACTGTTGAACTTTTCAACCCTAAACCTCTAAACCTTAACCGTGCCTAAACACTTAACCTGTAAGCCCTATAGGCTATAGGGTTAAGGTTCAAAGGTTAAGCGTTTAGGACCCTTAAGGTTTAAACTCTATGGGCTTACTGTTGAACATTTCAACCCTAAACCTTTAAACCTTAACCGTATAGCCTACAGGGCTTAAAGGTTTAGCCCACGATCCCGAAATCTATGGGCTTGTGACACATGACCTTGAGCGACGTCACGAAATTTACTTCTGAGACTTTATAGCGACGTCACGAAAGCTAAAACTGAGACTTTACAAGACGTGAACCCGATTGAAAAACGATTGAAACGATTGAAATTCAATCGGGGGCCCGATTGAAAAACGATTGAAACGATTGAAGTTCAATCGGGGGCCGGATTGAAGATTGAAGATTGAAGATTCCCAGAAAAAAGCTTTCCGGGAATCTTCAATCTTCAATCTTCAATCCGGTCTCCGATTGAATTTCAATCGTTTCAATCGTTTTTCAATCGGGCCCCCGATTGAATCTTAAAGGTTTAGCCCACGATCCCGAAATCTATGGGCTTGTGACACATGACCTTGAGCGACGTCACGCAATTTTCTTCTGGGACTTTATAGCGACGTCACGAAAGCTAAAACTGAGACTTTACAAGACGTGAACCCGATTGAAAAACGATTGAAACGATTGAAATTCAATCGGGGCCCGATTGAAAAACGATTGAAACGATTGAAATTCAATCGGGGGCCGGATTGAAGATTGAAGATTGAAGATTCCCCAAAAAAAGCTTTCCGGGAATCTTCAATCTTCAATCTTCAATCCGGTCTCCGATTGAATTTCAATCGTTTCAATCGTTTTTCAATCGGGCCCCCGATTTTTTCAATCGAGCTCACAATTTGAAAATACGACCACGCACATATGAAGACTCGCACATATCAAGATTTACATGTCCATATTGAGATTTACATGTTTAGCTAGCCCCCCACCCCCAACCCTAAAACCCTAAAACAGATCCCAAAACCACGAAAATACCTAGATCTTTGGGGGGGGGTACCAAATATATATATATATATATATATATATATATATATATATATATATGATATGTATATATATATATGTATATATATATATATGTAGATATATTTATATATATATATATATATATTTGCAAGAACTAGATTGCACAATATATTCTACGACGTACCGACAGGAAGCCATATTCTACTATATTCCGCTATATTTGACATGATTATATATCTTCCTGTAGAAACTCAAAAAACACATATGCTGAGGACTCATGGGAGTCGGCGGGCGGTGGCGTTAGATGCGAGCTTCGCGGAGCCATTGGGAACCCTCAACCGCAAACGCTTTACCCGACGCCTTGAAGAAAAGAATAATTCGTGCCTTTAAAGAGAACGCAGAAAAATGTCGGCAATGTTTCAGAGTAAGCAACAGGGTTTAGGGTTTGCCCTACTTTTGAGTAGACCCTGGAAAAAATATAGAATGCTTTTTCGGAATAAGTAGCTATCATCGGAACCCAGAAACAAAAAACACTTAAAGTCTTCTTGTACTTCGAAACCCAGTTTAGATTTGAACCTTTCAGCCCATGGTAAGGCCCCCAGCAATGCCTGACACCGGCCGCACGGCAGGCCGGTACGCCCGGGCCTCATAGCTGCCAACAAAAGGGAAGTGAACAACCTGCGCTCTGAACCCCATAAACCCAAACCCCCATAAACCCTAACCCTAAACCCCAAGGGCGAAGGGCTTCCGGTAGGGTTTTTTCCCTCCCTATGCCGAGAACACCGGGTTTCAATCTCAAACCCCGGGTTTGCCTGAGCTGGCCAGGCCCTTGTGCCGCAATAAACCCCGTGACTTATCCGTGACCCGGATATTGATTTCGAAAACCCTAAACCCTATATAAATCCCTAGACCCCCTCCCCCAACCCTAAAACCTTAAACCCTCAATTGGGCAAACCCCGGGTTGGAATTGCGAAACTTTGGGTTGCAAAAGCCAGACCGTACTTTTTGTTGCAGATCCGGCTTCTGCACCTTAAGAACCCACTTTTTGCAGGTTACCCAAGAACCCTATAGACGGCATTGATAAGAAGAAGCTACAAAAAAGTAGGTTTTGGCTTCTTAAGGAAAGCAGTAGGGGTGCGCGGATTTGAGGTTTCAGGGCTTCGTCTGCAGGAGCTTGGAAACTCTTGTTTTGGGGCGCTTGGGCTCGGAGGCTGTAAGATACTCGGCTGTTTGGAATGTTTATGGAGCCTAGACTCTAGGAGACTAAACTTGGGGTTTGGGTCGAAGTTGGCAATAACAAAGCATTTCGATAGCCACCTGCGCCATGTGAGCAATCGCAAACCCAGAAAGCGCAAGCCCGCAACCCCACCTGAAACCCAATCGTAGGCTGATAAAGGAGCCTAGACTATAGTTCATGATAAAGATGAAAGCGGATGATATTGGTACTTACATCTAATCTCCTGTGGACAAACCTTGTCTCTCTCCCTAGCGGATCTTTCCTGCCAAAAGTCGCGCATGCTCCAGGCAGCCCGCCCGGGCAGTGGCCGACATCACCGCATCTGAAGACCTTCCTGGTGCTTTGGGCACGCCCTTTCTGGGGGTCCTCACTTGCCTGCCTTTTTGGGTATTTTGGGGTATAACCTATTTTGGTGGAGGGTTGCGTTACATCTAGGTTTGCTAGAGTTAGATGCCAAGCTGACCCAGGTTTCGAGTTCGGGGCTTCAAGGGTTTGTTATTGGGTTTTGGGTTTCGACCCTAACGCCTGGCGCACACGCAGGCAAGGCTCCAGAGCTCTCGAGTTGACAAGGGTTAGGCAGGGCCAATTAACTTTCCTAACCAAACCACAATGGCAACTAAACCCCAATCCCGCATGAACTGACCCCTAAACCTGTATAAGCCCCTAACTTCTTGAACCCCACACCTAAGTGCCTCGCAAATCCCTAGATCCGTGCAGCCAGGTCGCGTGGGCTCATCCATGGTGGCAAAGTGGCCTGGTAAGAGCTTGGGGAAGAGCTGGTCCTGATCAATGGTTCACGGTTTAGGAGAGGAGGGAGCTGCTAACGAGGGAGCTGCTAACCACCCGCCTTAAAGCCGAAACGTATTGAACCCCAAGCTTTAAAAAACACAAGCGCCGAGTAGGTTCCAGTCCTTCAAAGGATCCCAAACTGTTGGAGGCTCCCGCTAGAAGAAAACCAAGGAGAATTTTCTGATGTTTCATATATGGGCCCCGCCCGCCTGAGAGTAGCTGCCCCTGAAATGTCATGAGTCGCGGCTCGGGGCCAGAAGGGCAAGGATCCCGGATGCAGTAACGGCAGCAAGAAGTAATAGAAAACATCGCGGTAAGGGTGAAGAGAAGCCGATGTTGCTCCACTAACTGAATCCTCTCTTCTGCAACGGCCAAGCTTGCAGCACAGCCGCTCACACAACAAGTCATGTAAGCCGGTAAGATCTGGCTTCTTTGTGCAAGCCTTCTTGGAAAACCCCCCAGCCTAATTAGGCCCTGAAAACCCGCGCAATGCAACTGCCTGAGACGGGAATTGGACTGCGCTATCGCTCCACGAGCACCAGATCACATGAACAGGCCTCAGGATGAGCTCGCGCAATATACTGCACTCTCCGGATTGAGTACTGACATCACAAGTATGCATGCTAAACCCTAAAACCTTTCTTTCAGCCCCAAAACCCTAAAACCCTGAAACCCTAGAACCTAAACCCTAAAACCCTAGGGTTAAACCCTTAAGCCTAAACCCCAAACCCTAAAATCCTAATACCCTGAAATACTTATGGTGCGGCAGCGGTCCTCGGGGACCATGGTCTCCCCTGCTCTGAACCTGTCGTAGACCTGACACGATGCTCAAACATCTCTTGGGACTTGTGAAGCGTAAAGTTCACGTTTGTCTTTACGATCACCATGTGTGTGTATATTGTGTATATATATATATATATGTGTATCTTATATATACACACATATATATTTATATACATGATAAATAAAAAATAAATAAACAAATAAAAAAAAAATATATATATATATGTATGATATAAATAATTAAATAAACTAAGTTAAATAAATAAATAAATAAACATATATAGCTTAGGTTGGGTAGATGTGTGTGTGTATATTATGGTCTGGTGCTCCCGGCCTGGAGGTCGCTTCCTAGGACACAGTCTAGGCCAGGCCCACAGGAGACGCAGGAGCCATTGCCGGCAATATCTGCATTCCTCAAGGACTTCTGGGGCTTAGGGTTTAGGGTTTAGGTTTGGGGTTTAGGGTTTAGGGAAGTTTAGGGTTTACTGTGGGGAAGAAGGCTTTAAGAATGCCACTGTCCTTTTTAGACGTCCCTCGCGGGCCCTCCTCTGTGGCATTTCTGCGTGGTAGCCTCCCTCACGGCTCCGCACTCGAGGCCAGACACTTGAGGGCTTCGGCTTTTGAGGTCCATGCTTTCGTGGGCTTGTGGAGGATCTGAGCACAGAAGGTGGGGCGTTTGGGGCTGGGTTTGGTGTTTAGGGCCGGGCAATTTCTTTCACTCCAGTTCAGGGTTCAGGGTTCAGGGTTTAGGGTTTAGGGTTCAGCGTTCCAAGGCCAGGTGTCAGTGGGAGGTACCAGCCCTCCGCGCACACGCACTCCGCCTTGCTTGGACATTCTGGGGGAGAGAAGGGGTTTAGGGTTTGGGGTTTAGGGTACTCATAGCCTACCCATGAACCATGAACCGGCAAGTAGATACAGCCCCGCTTGCATAGACATGCCCCCCCCCCCCCCAAACGCTACACCTTAAACCCCAAAGCCCACATAAGAATACCCTCGCATGAAGCCTTCTCAAGCATCCCACAAACCGCAACATACTCCATATGTGATATACAGTAAGCGCTGAATACCGGCATTCGTCTTCCATGAAATTGCACCGTAAAATTGCTCAAGAGAAGGAGCTCGGCGCCCAGAGTACTCTCGACTCACTGAACCCACCCCCCGGTTTAGGGTTTAGGGTTTTCAACCCTAAGCCCCTAAACTCCCGCCTTCTTGACCCCAGGCTCGGGCCAAGCTTGCCTCAGCCTAAACCTCAGACCTCAAAAACCCTCAATTCTGAACCCCCGGCTGGCCCTCAAAACCCTCTCAAAAAGTTACATTCCTGAATATGCTCCTCTTAAACCCAACATGGGAAAAAATTGAAAGGAGGGTTTTAGGGTTTACGGTTTAGGGTTAAGGTCCCAAGGGTCTACTGAGGACCCTCAGCTGGCCTGCGTGGTGGCGCCCTGGTAGGCGGTGGTCGTCGATCCCGGGCAGGGCTCACATTGCGCCTCTGCCTTGCGGTAGAAGCCCACCCGGCACCTTCATGGAGATTTTCGACGATGTAAAGTTTCAGGCTGCTTCGATCATGATTACGACTACTTTGTTTTAGGATTTAGGGTTTCAACCCTCTTGGGGGTTCATGGCATCCCCCAAGGCGAACGCCAAGGACCCAAACCCTCCGTAGACCTCTCGGTGCGAGGCGCGGCGCATACACCCTCGACTACCATGATCCTTATGAAGACATACGGCACCATAAGCCCTTTTCAGGGCCTATACAGTACCTTGTGGACCACGTGAATCCTAGAAATGGGGCCATATACCCTATACTATACTACAATTCCTATTAAGGTAAGTAATCCATAAACCCTTTTTGGGGTTCATCTGGTCGCGAAGGGCACAGGGATCTTATGCCGAGGAATCCTACTAGACTTCCTATTAAGGCATATGAATCCATAAGCCCTTTTAGGGCTCATTTCGTCCCTTAGGGCCCTCTCGGGGATCCTAAACCCTAAACCCTAAACCCTAAACCCTAAACCCTAAGCCCCAAAGTAGCCAAGGCGCTGCGAGCAGCCCGTGGATCCCGATGCGAAGGTCACGGCGCCCTCGGGACACGCAGTGCCTGGGATCCCGCGGCTGGGCTGAGGGGTTTAGGGTTTATATAGGGTTTAGGGATGTTTAGGGTTTATACAGGGTTTAGGGATGTTCAGGGTTTAGGCTTTAGTCGGGTTTAGGGGTTGAGAGTGTAGGCGGTTAGGTTAGGGGGGTTTAGAGGGTTTAGGGGATTTGGGGAATGAAGCGATTCCCAAAAGGTAAATTTCAACCATAACCCTTTTAGGGCTCATGTGGTCCCCAAGCAAAAATATAATTTTGGAGAGCAGAGGATGGCATCCGTGTGATGGCTCCCTTCTTTGAGGGCTGCTTTACTGCAGGCATTTGCTGTCTTGGGAGGGTCGACACTAAAGGAGAGGGCGGGGGGTTGTGAGGGCATGTAGCCTAAACCCTAAACCCTAAACCCTAAACCCTAAACTGTAGGGCTTGGGGGGCACCCACATTGCCCAGCTGCACTGGCCCGAGCCTGGTGTGGCCGCGAACTCGTTCAAGGGGCAATCGAAACACCTCGAAGCCGTTTTGGAGGGCTTTGGGATGGTGTACGCGGGTCCTGGAGCTCGATTCTCCGTCCGAACCTTCCGAAGCCTCTTGCACACCCGTAGTAGGCTTCAGAGCCCTGCGCCGACGTGCAATGGAGCTAAGACAGGCATTGGCATCTTCGGCATCTTCCAGCGCGAACTGCCAGCAGCGGGCGTCCTAGGAGCCTAGAAACGTACAATGCCCAGAACAAGCCCATGAATCCCAGACCCCCCAAAGTCCTTGCTTCGTATACTTCCCCCACTCCAAGTGCGAATAGCTCGACTCGTACTAGACCTTTGAGCCCCAACCCCAGACCCCACCGACCCAAGCTAAACACTCAATTCTTAAACCTCAAAAATCTTGAGTCCCAAGCGCCCCCCAACACCACCTTAAACCCTAAATCCTAAACGCCCTAAGCCCTAAGCCCTAAACCCTAAACCCCAAACTGCCACGGCCACCTGGTGGAGCCCGCAGGCGCGAAGCGGCCCGGACCACAGAAGACGCACTCGGCCTTTTTGCTTCCTAGCCCTAACCTTGGGGACCAAAATGAACCCTAAGGTTTAGGGTTTAGGGTTTAGGGTTTTAGGGTTGTAGGGTTGTAGGGTTGTAGGGTTTTAGGGTTTTAGGGTTTTAGGGTTTTAGGGTTTTAGGGTTTTAGGGTTTTAGGGTTTTAGGGTTTTAGGGTTTTAGGGTTTTAGGGTTTTAGGGTTTTAGGGTTTTAGGGTTTTAGGGTTTTAGGGTTTTAGGGTTTAGGGTTAGGGTTTAGGGTAGGGGTTTAGGGTTTAGGGTTTAGGGTTTAGGGTTAGGGTTTAGGTTTAGGGTTTAGGGTTTAGGGTTTAGGGTTTGGGTTAGGGGTTGGGGTTTGGGGTTTGGGGTTTGGGGTTTGGGGTTGGGGGGTTTGGTGGGGGTTGGGGTTAGGGTTTAGGGTTTAGGGTTTGGGGGTTTAGGGTTTAGGGTTTAGGGTTTAGGGTTTAGGGTTTAGGTTGAGGGTTTAGGGTTTAGGGTTTAGGGTTTAGGGTTTAGGGTTTAGGGTTTAGGGTTTAGGGTTTAGGGTTTAGGGTTTAGGGTTTAGGGTTTAGGGGAACCCGAAACTTGGGGTCATATACCCTACACTATGTTTTTGATATTAAGGCGTATGAACCATAAACCCTTTTCGGTTCATTTCGTCCCCAAGGAAATGCCCATGCGCCAGTCTTAGGGGTGCCGGGTTGCCACCCGCCAAGAAGGGTTCAGGATGCAGGGTTCAGGGCTTAGCGTCTACCTATATAGAATGCATATGTACCTGGGCCTGAAGGGATCTTTGACACAGCAGCCTCGGTGGCCGTGGTCAAATATATAACTGCATAATATATGTATATATATATATGTATATATAATATACATGCATACACATACAGAAAAAAAGCATATGCATACATACATACATGCATGCATGCATGCATGCATTACGTGGGCACATGGTAGCTAGCGGGCTTCTGATGTTTTGCAGGGGAGGTGCTAAGGTAAGGCCCTTAGGGTTTGATGGGTTTATGGCTTGTAAGGGGGGAGGGCTCTGGACCATTTTGTTTAAGTTCAAGGGTTTAACAGTCTCCAGCAGGCAGAACCCCAAAACCACCCAACGGTGATGGAATAATGGGTTTGGGGAAGGAATGTATGTTGGGCCGAGGCGGGTGCTCGATGGGCTGGGGTAGGTAGCCATCTTGCACCAAAACAAACCTAAAACATCAAAACCCCAAAGCCCCCCCCCAAAGTCCCCAAAGCCCCCCAAAACCCTAAAACATCAAAACCCCAAAGCCCCCAAAACCCCAACTCCAAACCCCAAAACCCCCAAAATCCCCAAAACCCCCAAAACCCCCAAACCCCCAAAACCCCCAACCCCCCAAACCCCCAAACCCACACCCCAGGGCCTGGGCCGACTCGTTGTTGAAAGAGCCCGGGGGGCAGGTTGTGCAGGCGACCGCTGCGGCTTCCCTCTTGCGAAGCCCTGGGAAGCCTGGGCTTCTCTTTTGTGGGGGGGGGGGGGGGGGGGGGTTGGGGTTTAGGGTTTAGGGTTAGGGGTTGAGGGTTTAGGGTCTTGGGGGTTTGGGGGTTTTGGAGCTTTGGGTGTTTTTTGGGAGGTTTGGGGTTCTGGGGGGGGGGTTGAAGGGGGCACTTCCCTTCAGAACAATGATAAGTATGCGTCATGAAGATGCCCGTGTCTTTTTCTGACAAGCGGACATGGTAAGAGATCGCCGAGACCAATCCTTGAGTGCAAGGCTCGGATGTTCTCGGGGGGGAAAAGACCCCGACTGAGAGGTCGGATGGCCTACAAAGCGGGGAACATCTGAGAACTTGAGCCCATCTACGAATTCCCTGCAGGACCCCCATCAGGCCCTGCAATAGAACAACTTATGCGTGTGCATATATATATATATATGTATGTCCATATGTGCATATCTATATATATATATAATATCTATCCTTTGTAGAACAAAAACGGAGTTCCTACCGAGACGATCGCAACACAAAGCCAGCTACTTGAAACAGTGCTCTCAAGTACTCTCCCTGCCTGCTAGCCTCCTTGGAATCCCTAGACTCTAGAAACCCTATAAACCCTATAAAACCCTATAAACCCCACAAAAAAAACCTAGAAACCCTATAAACCCTAAAAACCTGTAAACCCTAGAAACCCTGAAACCTCAGACTCTAGAGACGCCGTATCCCAAGATGCACCCGAAGAGCACGCGCGACACGATGTGCCATTCACCACTTCGTAGCCCGGATCGCAATGGAGGCACCTGGGCCGTACAAATCCATTCACTGGAGGCATGGTGCGGACCCCCTTGGGTTTAGGGCTTTAGGGTTTTAGGGTTTTTGGGTTTAGGGTTTAGGGAGGCTCTCACGCAACATGCTCTCAACATAAAAAACATCGGCTTAGCAGAATCGGCTTGCTTTTAGTACGGTTCTTGCCGCTGTTTGCAGCAATTTCCGCACAGGGTCCATGACAACCCCCTTTATTTTGTGGCCGCGCCAGTTGCGCTGCTGCATCTGAAACCTTACTTCTGCTCAAGCACCTGGATTGCCCAGGTAGTTCTGCATAACGCCCCGGCTCGCATGCTCTGCAGGATGTGGGCGTATCCTGAGCTCGTTGCGCGCGATGGTTGCCTGTAAAACCTTGCTTGGCACACAGAGGGGTGTGCTGCCTACAGGATCTTGCGGGACCAGGCTGTAAGCCCGAGACCAGGAACTTGTACATGCCCACCGTGCAAGGCGTGCATGTGTAGTTGACCTGTCATTGCGGGAGTCGCAGCGGCGCGATGAAGCTGCTACGAACATTCTTGTTGCTTTGTTGCGTGCCCTGACCTCCAACAGGAAGAAGTGGTTTTGGGGCCGAGGGTGAGGTGTAGAGGCGTAGACTAAGCACTAGCCCCTTAAGACCCAAATTCCGCATGACCGTTTCGGACTTAACGCGGACCTTGCTGTTTCCGAAGGCGTTGATGAAGGGGAGGCTGGTGAGCTCCGTTCCGATTGGGCAGGTGGCGGGGGCCACGGAGACGTAGTCGGCCTCTGGATTCCCTCGCTCCTGGCAAGGGAGGGAGAGAAGAGCTGCAATTGCGGAACTCCCCAGGCTAGGCAGGGGTACGCGTTTCAATAATCCAAAATTTACTGGAATCCCCTGAAAGGGGACCCCAAAAGAGTACCCCTATTTTCGCAAATCCCCAAAATGTTGGGTCCATAAGGTTGGAAGCACACCGAAGCAATTTCATGCGGTCCTCAATACGGATTTTCATCTTGGCCAACAACGCGATGTTCAGAGGAACATAACCCACCTGCGGAACACGGTTCTCGCGTGCCCTGAGGCTCTCAGAACTCTCAACTTTTGGGCATTTGGACCCAGAACCAGAACGTATACTGAATTTGGAACCCTAGTAAAGAAATGGCTGTTTCTTAGGAATATAGTACCCAAAAAAATATTATTTCCAAGTACCCCTAAGCCATTGCCATGCTGGAGAAGGTTTGGAGGGGACAGGCTAGGTGGCTAAACTTTAACGCGAAGACCCACCAACACCCCGCGAAACCAGTAGGTGACCCCACCTCGTGTATCACTGCCGAACCGAAAACACACAAATGCAGCTGGGGGTACTGCAAATTAAAGCTCTTTCGGCCCCCTTTCACCCTACACCCTACCTTTCACAGGTTCACCACCGTCAGTGCCTGGGACACCAGCGCCCGACCTGCTGTGCTGAACCCGTAGCCTGGGAACAGTTTCAAGGAGTAACCCATGTTCTTCTTGTACCCAAACAACAGGGCGGCGGGCTGAGTTCTGGCACTGTCTGCCTTAGGCGTGCATGGCCTTCGGCTTGTGTACATACATCCTGAACCCTCGAACTTTTGATGTTTAGTGGTTGCTGATTCATTTCTCGGTTCCTGGAGACGACTCCCCGCTTGTTGAAAAAAAAGGTTTGCGGATGCAGGTAATCATATGGTTTATGGTTTATGGTTACCAGAGGAAAACTTGAAGCACACTCAGAACCCACCAAGGAAACTGAAGAACCGCAGCCCTGATCCATACAGCTGCGAGGCTGAGGAATGGATAGACGCGGTCCCAGGCCTTGACCGGTTTAGGGTTTGCTTCGAGCTTAAGGCTTAGGGTTTAGGTCGAGTAGGCTGGGAGGCTCTGATGCGTTGCGTCATCTCATGTGCTGCGGCATATGGGGGGTACCCCCATGTCTCGAGGGCAATCATGTCGAAAAGCCACGACTGACGAGTTTACATTACTGACGGAGGCTTACTGGAGACGTGCCTCACCGTCCTTGGACAGTGAGACTGACAAGACGCACGTTTGCAACTCCCAATCCTCAGCCCGGCACCTCATTGTCCACATTCATGTAGAGCTGGCGCGTGTAGACACTGTAAGATCCGTCCTTCCCAAGCTCAGTTTGTGCTTTACAGGGGCTTCCTTTGTGTCTTCCTACCTGCGCGGAGGTTGCTGGTGTTCCGGCCACTTTCTTACCACGAACAACACGAGGACCCCCTCGCGAAGAATTGCGTGCGTCAGCAGATCAGTTGAACTCGAAAAAACTGCCAAGCGTCCATGATCGTATAAGTGGACGGCATCACCTTGACATCTCGTGTGTCCTGAAGGCATATAGGGGTAGTTCTCTAAACTAGGGGCCCTTTTTGGGGATCCCTTTCTAAAGGGTGCCACCTTGTCATGGGCACCCAAAAGGGTGAGCCCAATTTAAGAAACTACCCATATGGGTGGTTGTCAGAATTTTGGTTCCGTTTTGGATCCCTATTGGTAAATTGTAACGCAGGCTTTTAGGGGTTCATCAGTGGCCCCCTAGGTCAACGCACGGCACTTTCAGCCACCTGGAATCACGAGGGACCCCGTTGAGCTTTCACAGATTAGGGTACCAGAGCCTTTTGTCTGATTGTTGGTGGTATTATGGTAACGCGACTTTCTGCTGATGTGGGCAAACGCGAGACCCTCAAGTTGAAGACTTCCTTGGAGAGCGTGGGAGGTTTAGGGTTTAGGGTTTAGGGTTAGCTGCATCAGGAAATGCACAGGGTCGGACACAAGATGGCCGGGATCAGAAACTGCCATCGCCGTGATCCGCAAAGGGCCAAGACGCCAAAATCTCAGAAAACGGGGCGAGGATCCGAAATCCTTTTTGCAGCCAGTTAGGAAACCACGAAAACCCAGGGGGGCCAAACCCTGCAAAATCACCCCCCGAAACTGGCTGGTTCTTAGTAGGGAATGAGGGAATTAGGGTCCCGTATATACCCTTTAAGGGATTATGTAGGGCACTCATTCCCTGATTCCCTACTAAGAACCAGCCGGTAAAGTCTGCACCAAAGCCTACACCCATTGGCCCATCTCATGTGGCATTGGTTGGTTCTGGTGCGAATGACTTGGGAGGCACTACGAGGCACGCCGCGAATGCCACTTAAAGGCTTCTCGTACATCTTCAACCATGTGCTTGTAGCCACCATTTCGCACCTTTCCTTTATTTTGGAGGCTTCTTGCCAGGGGAAAGCGGTGATTGTGCCGAGATCGTGAAGACCCTTGAGGTCCCGCTTGGCGTGGAGGAGGCCAGATGGAAGGAGGGGCTCGCCCATCCCGAATATTCAGTCCTCCCCCCAAGTGGACAATCAGCTCCCTCCATCGAATCATGTGCCATGCGGAATCGTTAAAAACAGGACAAAAGTAACCGGAATCGTCATATTAAACCCTTTGAAACCCGGAACCCTACATCCCTAATTTTAGTAAACCCAAAAAAAACCTTAAATCTTACTGAGCCCTCGGGGGGGAGAGTGGGTGGGCAGGGGGGTGGGGGGGTGGGGGGGTGGGGGGGAGGAGGAGGGGAGGGGTTGGGAAGGCTGCAACCTCGCTGCTCCGAACAGAACGCGGCCACAGCACTCCCGATTGCGACCCCCTCTCCCCGCCAAGGCTTGGCTCTGCTTACCTGAACACCTCTCGAACACCCCCCGAACACTCCACGATGTCCCGCCGCCGACCTCTGGGCCTGGGGGTTCACAAAGCTATTCCGGGTACATACCGAGGATGGTTCTGGGTCTTCGCACCCAAAACAAATCTTAAGCATAACAAGGCTTAACAAGGGCTTTGCAACTTAAACCCTATAGGCCCTATAGTAAATCCTAGAAAAAACCCCATAAGGTTGACGTTGTAGCGCTCCTTGATGCCCATCTTCGTGTCACTGGCCACTCCTGGGGTGGACTGGTTTAGGGTTTAGGGTTTAGGGGGTTCCGAAAATCGGGGTACCTGTTTGTATGAGCCATAAACCCTTATTAAGGGACTATGAGCCATACACCCTTTTAGGGTTCATTTGGCCCCCAAGGAAGGGGCTTAGGCTATCGGTTTAGGGTTTATAGACCCTAGAGCCCCAACTGCTTCCAGCCGCCCCTGTTCTCTCACAGTTTATGGCTGGGGTTTTGGGCTAGGGTTTAGGGTTTAGGGCCTATAAGGCTTGTTGGGACTTAGGGTTTCTGCAAGCACTCTCTGCAACAGCAGGCCCCACATTTGGGTTTGGGTTTTTGGGGTTTTTCGGGCTTATGGAGTTTACATGCCTCAAGGTACCTCACCAAACACCCTGCCTTCTTGCATTATTGACCTTTTGATTGCCTTGCGTTGCACGGTATGGAGGGTTGCAACAAGTGGGCGAGAATTTGCCGTGGCGAGCAGCATTGTGGTTTCGATAAGCTATAGCATACAGTTCTTATTTGGGGCGCAGGAAGCAAGGCCGCCTTACAACCCAGGAGTGCCCGGGGCATTTGAAATACAAAATGTTCGCCAATCTGCCAAGCAAGAATCGGACAACAAAGCGCGCTACTGCCAAGGCCTGCTTCATCCCCGGTGCAATGTTCATGGTCCAAAACACAGAGAGAGAGAGAGAGAGAGGTTCACACACACACACACTCACACGCACCCTAACCCCTAAACCGTAAACCAATCTGTCTGCATACTTGTTGGGTGAACCTTTGGCAATCCCAGCCACGGGCGATGGTCAGCTCATTCTGAAAGCTTGTGTAATAGGCGTATCCCAAGTAGGCGATGCCGCCAGAATCCTAAGGCTTCATTCCGCATGAAGGCTGAGGATGCCCCAAAGCCTAAACCCTGAGCCCCCCAAACCCTAAACCCAAAACTGGACAGCGGCACAACCCTAAACCCTAAACCGCAAGGCTGACATCATCTCGCCTAGCCTAACCGAACAAAAAGCAGGCTCCGGTAAGTAACCGCGGACAGGGCGGCAGCTGTCAACCACTCGATGAGCTCGACATCAGACTCAGAGGACCTTGGAGTCTAAACCCAAGAGAAACCGAGGTTTAGGGCTTAGGGTTTAGGGAAAAGGGTGCCCTTTTTGCGTTCTAAGAAATTCGAAGGGACCCTAAACCCTAAAAGAAGGGAATAAGGGCTTACTCGGGTCCCGCGTGTTCTTTGCATGCCCAGCTGCACTGCCCAATTTGCTGCAAGGCGGATGATCTTACAGTGTGCTATCTTGCGTTAGATTATGTTACATATATGTTATGTTGTACTGTATCATGTTAGACTTTCTTATGTTAGGTTATACGACACATCAGCCCCAGATGCATGTAGCAGTTGGGCGGCCGCATCGTTGCGACGAACTCCTGTGGCAGAAGGTCCCGGCTTCACGGGTTCGCAGCATTTAGGGTTTAGGGTTGAGGGCTTGGGGCAGCAAGACGCAGTATTTGATAGGCAGGCTTATTAGAGTCAGCGCCTGTAGATTGACATGTTCCAGTGCCTTTCTTCTCTCCCAGGGCCGGGGGGTCTGAAGCCGAGGGCAGGATGGGCACGTACCAGGCCGCACTCAACAGACGCCCCTGCTTCTACGGCTTGGGGCTCCCCTTCAGCACGCTCCTAGCTCCTGTTGCAGCATGAAGATGTCTCTTAGCAAGAACCGCTTCTTGAAACACCAGGGTGCTCACACATGTTTAAAGTGTGAACATTTCATGACACACAAGAACAGCAAATTGCTCGGAGCCTCATTCCAAAGCACGGTCAACCAGCCTCCAGAGTGCCGTTGACCCGCGCGTGTTTCATGGCATGCAGGTCATCCAGCGGGCACCACATGAAATACTCAGGGAGAGAGCCTTAGCTCAAGGGCACCAGAACGCCATGCGGATCATGTGCGTGCATACTCGCAACTAGCCGCGTTACACTAGAAGAGGGATGGCCGAAAGCATCCATTTGCCGTGCGTTGACTCCATGCACTTGACTCTTTGCATTCGAACTGTATGCACTTGGACAAGTGTATGCACTTATATGGTTGCATACTCACTTGTATACTGCACGTGCTATGCAATAGAACTGCATAGCGTCCAAGTGTTGAATGCCATGCACTTGTGGTGAACTCTATACACTTCATCGGCATTCAATACATCTGAAGTTAACGGACTTGAACTCGACATTTTTGAACTTATTGCACTTGAGCAACTGTATTCATTTGAACTTATTGCGTTTGAGCAACTGTATGAACTTCACTTGTATGCACCCGACTCGACTGCGCACGTCCAATCCACGCGTGAAAGAAAAGACAAAAACATCCAACGCGAGGCCATCAGCCATGAGCATCATCGGCAGTCGCTCTGAAGTCCAAGCTCATAGTCCAGAGCGCCTTTCAGGAAGCAAGAACTCAGCATGCACGCATGTACTATGCACTTCCACTACAGCAAAGACAAAAACATCCAACGCGAGGCCGTCAGCCATGAGCATCATCGGCAGTCGCTCTGAAGTCCAAGCTCATAGTCCAGAGCGCCTTTCAGGAAGCAAGAACTCAGGACAAGATCCACAACACCGTCCCCAAGTTGTTTGCGAGGATTTCGAAGCCCCACAGTTCCGCGGCCACGTTATTTGCGAAACCCTCGAAGCCCCAGAATTCCGCGCCCACGTTATTTGCTAGGTTTTCAAAGCCCCAGAATTCCGCGCCCATGTTATTTGCGAGGTTTTCAAAGCCCCAGAGTTCCGCGCCCACGTTATTTGCGAGTCGGGGACCATGGTATTTGCGATGGTTTTGGAAACAGCGAATTCGGGGACCATGGTATTTGCGATGCTTTTGGAACCAGCGAATTCGGGGACCGTGGTATTTGCGATGGTTTTGGAAACAGCGAATTCGGGGACCATGGTATTTGCGATGCTTTTGGAAACAGCGAATTCGGGGACCATGGTATTTGCGATGCTTTTGAAAACAGCGACTTCGAAAACACCGTCCCCAGTTGTTTGCGAGGATCTCGAAGCTCCACAATTCCGCGCCCACGTTATTTGCGAGGATTTCGAAGCCCCACAGTTCCGTGTTTGCGAGGATATCGAAGCTCCACAATTCCGCGCCCACGTTATTTGCGAGGATTTCGAAGCCCCACAGTTCCGCGCCCACGTTATTTGCAAGGGTTTCGAAGCCCCAGAATTCCGCGCCCACGTTATTTGCTAGGTTTGCAAAGCCCCAGAATTCCGCGCCCACGTTATTTGCGAGGATTTCGAAGCCCCACAGTTCCGTGTTTGCGAGGATTTCGAAGCTCGCTATTTGCGAGGTTTTCGCATGTCCGGAATTCCGCTTCCATGCTATTTGCGAGGTTTTCGCATGTCCGGAATTCCGCTTCCCTGCTATTTGCGAGGTTTTCAAGCATGTCCGGCATTCCGCTTCCCTGCTATTTGCGAGGTTTTCAAGCATGTCCGGCATTCCGCTTCCATGCTATTTGCGAGGTTTTCAAGCATGTCCGGAATTCCGCTTCCATGCTATTTGCGAGGTTTTCAAGCGTGTCCGGAATTCCGCTTCCATGCTATTTGCGAGGTTTTCAAGCATGTCCGGAATTCCGCTTCCATGCTATTTGCGAGGTTTTCGCATGTCCGGAATTCCGCTTCCATGCTATTTGCGGTGTTTTCAAGCGCCCAGTTGTCCGTTACCATGCTATTTGCGGTGCTTTCAAGCGCCACATGTCGGTGACCATGCTCTTTGCGGTGTTTTCGAGCGCCCATATGTCCGTTACCATGCTATTTGCGGTGTTTTCATGCGCCCAGATGTCCGTTACCATGCTATTTGCGGTGTTTTCAAGCGCCCAGATGTCCGTTACCATGCTATTTGCGGTGTTTTCATGCGCCCAGATGTCCGTTACCATGCTATTTGCGCCCACGTTATTTGCGAGGGTTTCGAAGCCCCAGAATTCCGCGCCCACGTTATTTGCTAGGTTTTCAAAGCTCCAGAATTCCGCGCCCATGTTATTTGCGAAGTTTTCAAAGCCCCAGAGTTCCGCGCCCACGTTATTTGCGAGTTCCGTGCCCATGTTAGCACGTCCGGAATTCCGCTTCCATGCTATTTGCGAGGTTTTCAAGCATGTCCGGAATTCCGCTTCCATGCTATTTGCGAGGTTTTCGCATGTCCGGAATTCCGCTTCCATGCTATTTGCGGTGTTTTCAAGCGCCCAGTTGTCCGTTACCATGCTATTTGCGGTGCTTTCAAGCGTCCGTTACCATGCTCTTTGCGGTGTTTTCGAGCGCCCAGATGTCCGTTACCATGCTATTTGCGGTGTTTTCATGCGCCCAGATGTCCGTTACCATGCTATTTGCGGTGTTTTCAAGCGCCCAGATGTCCGTTACCAAGCTAATTGCGGTGTTTTCATGCGCCCAGATGTCCGTTACCATGCTATTTGCGGTGTTTTCAGACGCCCAGGGTGTCCGCGGCGTGCTACGTCTGTACTACAAACAGTCGACTTTCCAGCCACGGAAGCTCCGCGTGTCCGCGGCGTACTCGGCGTACTACGTTTGTGCTACAAAAGTCGACTTTCCAGCCACGGAAGCTCCGCGTGTCCGTGGCGTACTACATTTGTACTACAAAAGTCGACTTTCCAGCCACGGAAGCTCCGGGCGTCCCCTGCGTACTACGTTTGTACTACAAAACTCGATTTTCCAGCCACGGAAGTCCCCGGCGTACTACGTCTGTACTACACAGTCGAAAAACAAACGCAAAAAACGCAAAAACACTACGGTTTTAGCACCGCGACCACGCGAAAACCCGCAGAGGGGTTACGTTTGCATGTCAAGAAACGCAAAAACACGAGGGTTTCGGCACCGCGCCAACGCCGAAAGCCGCAGAGGGGTTACGTTTGTATGTCAAAAAACGCAAAAACACCACGGTTTTGGCACCGTGCCAACGCCGAAACCCGCAGAGGGTTGTCTGCGGCCACGAAAAAAAGTACCAAAAACGACGGTTTTAGCACCGCGACCCGGCGATCACCCGCAGAGGGTTGTCCGCGGCCACAAAGAAACGTAAAAAAACGACGGTTTTGGCACCGCGACCACGCCGAAACCCGCAGAGGGTTGTCCGCGCAAATCAAGAAACGTAAAAAAACGACGGTTTTAGCACCGCGACCACGCCGAAACCCGCAGAGGGTTGCAATCCCGATTGGCGATGTCAACCCAGCCCGCCGCCTTAGAAAGAGTAATTTTAATTTAGAAATCTAGGACTGGGTACGAAGGTCTAGTAAATTCTACGTAAATCTAGAAATTTGTATTCACTGATTACTAAACTCTATGCAATTCACTCTATGCAATTCACTCTATGCACTTCACTCTATGCACTTCACTCTATGCACTTCACTCTATGCACTTCACTCTATGCACTTCACTCTATGCACTTCACTCTATGCACTTCACTCTATGCACTTCACTCTATGCACTTCACTCTATGCGCTTCACTCTGTGCACTTCACTCTGTGCACTTGCCTCTATGCACTTCACTCTATGCACTTTGCTCTATGCGCTTCACTCTATGCACTTCGCTCTATGCACTTCGCTCTATGCACTTCGCTCTATGCACTTCACTCTATGCACTTCACTCTACGCACTTCACTCTATGCACTTCACTCTATGCACTTCACTCTATGCACTTCACTCTATGCACTTCACTCTATGCACTTCAGTCTATGTTGTTGTGTCAGGGGGCTCCGCACGGAAGAACCCTTCGCGATGCTTTCGGGAATAAAAAGCCATATGTACAGGACTGCGAGCACATGTGGTGCATGGCAGTTCGAGCTTCTTGAACACTTCAGGATCCACGCTTGTGTGTCGGAAGTAGAACTTGCAAAAAAGCGTCCCTCATCTTTGTTGAAGCAGGGCTCGCACAATGTCGCCTCCCAGATCCATCAGGCATCACTGTCAAGGTGGTACTCTACAGGGTGAGGGCTTTTGCAAGATCCCAGTAACCCCTGCTAAAAGGAACTGTCCCCATTGCGCAGCACCATAGAAACCTTTAGAAGTGGGGATCTAAGGTACTGCCCCTCCAGAGCCTACTTCATCGCACGGTCCCCTCAGCGGCCCCTGAATCCTTGCTATCCCATGATTTCCCTGAATCCCTCCACATTCTATACGAAGTAGCCCTGAACCCTAAACCCTAAACCGTAAACCCTCTGAGAGTTGAGACAGAGACCCACCGCTCCTCCCCAAAGAAGCTGTAGGTACCCGAGTCAGGACCTGGGCCGTACCTCAAGAATCGACAGCCCTGAGCTTCTGTAGGGGTTGCTAATAGGGTTTAGGGTTTAGGGTTGCTGTTTGGGTGTCATGAAGGGTTTTTTTGCATTGCGGGGTCTATTGTTCACTGGAGGCATCATGCCTAACAGGGTGACAAGGGGTTTAGGGATTCTGCCGGGCATCCTACGAGCAGGTTTTCATAGCTTAAGGTTGCGTGAGGCGTGCTTAAGTTGTATACCAGGGCCAGGGTTTAGATTTAGGGCCGAGCTTCAGGGCTTCAGCTTCGGGACTCAAAGAGGAGTTTTTAGTGCTGCTGCCGTACACCAGTGCAGTGCTGTGCTGGCATACTCATGGTTTATTGTTAACTTTAACTGCCGTGGCCCTAACCCCAACGACCACAGTAATTAAAGCGCCCTAAAGTCTAAACCCTAAACCCTATAAACCCTAAACCCTAAACCCACGGCTGGATCCTGAGGCAAGCTGCGCATTTATCGGCACTTCGGCACAGGAAGGCGAGAAATCACTCCACTCCTGCCGCGTGAATGCAGGTCCCCGTAGCGGTTTGGGGTTTCATCCCTAATTAAACCCTAAATTTCGGGTTTAGGGTTGAGGCTACAGCAGCACTACAGCAGCCTCCCCACCTTCACCCCGTCGTGGTCGTTGTTGGGCAGGACCTGTTGTTGAAGCATACGAGGGCTGTGTCTATACTTCCCTTAGAACCTTAATAAAAATAGCGCTGTTAAATATCCTCTTGGGGTTTATATGAAGAAAATAAAAATAAATATCAAGGGGATATAGGTGTTACATGAAGGTCCCTGTTTTGGAGAGGATCGATCATCGCAATGAGGGGGGGCGTTCCTATAACTCATTACATCTCGCCGCGGTCTCCTCAGGAACAGCTTGAGACCCTGGCGCGGACACGCCATGTGCAACCCTGACAAAGATAGCAGGATACAGGAGCTGCATTACTTAGTTCTTTTGGCTTCGCAGCTGCCGAAACACACCCAGGAACCCTCACTATGGTTATGGAAAAAGCACAATGTTTACTTCTACGACCTTGCAGCAACAAAATCAAACACAGCGCTTCTTGACCAGAGTTCCTGTATTTGCTGAAAACAGCTGACGCGCCACGGAATTCGCGAAGACAGCACGTGCTGCGCAAAGCCAAGCCTACATGTCGTTCTGCTGACAAAGGCAGACGGCGTGCCACCTACTGACAGGCTCTCAGAAATGTGGTACGGACAAGCATGATTCGGTCGGACTGGTGGTCGTGTGGTTTCTATCACTGAAATGATGAGAACGAGTGGCGGAGGCCAGGTCTAAGCCATGTTCCATCAGTTGGACGTCTGTCCTGGTGTTTGGCGCCGCTGTCCCAGGCAAAATCATGCATGGAAACTGATTCACAAGCTCCCTAAACGTTTAGGGTTTAGGGTTTAGGGTGCCTATAATGCCCTAAACCCTAAGGCAATTTCACACGCACGACCTCAAACTCAGCTCATGGTGCAGAATGCCGAAGTTCCTGCAGCCCAAACACCACAACTGCTACGACTGCCGCAGCCTTTGCACCGACCTACACAGACCTATTCCTCACCTCGAGGCCCCTTGGAACCCCCCAAAACCCCAAACCCCAAACCCTTTTGCAACAGCCCTAAACCCTAAAACCCTCCAAACCCCCGAAAACCCTCGGAACCCAAAAAACTCGGGTCCAGTTGGTGAAGATCCAGTGAAGCATTCCGAGAGTGAGGCCGCCCACTTCTGATCTCGTGAGGCAATCGTGGGCCTCCCCAAGTGCACGGGGTTAGGGTTTAGGGCTTAAGGGTTTAGGGTTTAGAGTTTAAGGGTTTAGGTTTTAGAGTTCAAGGGTTTAGGGCAACAGGAACAAGTGGGATCGCAAAAAGCCCGATTCCGTGACCCCTGAATGGCGGAATACTCCACGCTGTCTAAACCCTAAACCCTAAACCCTAAACCCTAAGCCCTAAACCCTAAACCCTACACCCTAAACCCTAACCGGGGGAACGTGTGTTGGGCAGCTTGGGCTCTTGAGTCTGCTGAAACAAACACAACCATTGCGAAGTTGCAGGGGTTAGGGTTTAGGGTTTAGGGTTTAGGGTTCGGGTTTAGGGGCTTGAGGGGCTTGAGGGGCTTCCCTCCCTTGGTTTTCGGGGGTTTAGGGTTTAGGGTTTAGGGTTTAGGGTTTAGGGTTTAGGGCTACCCCAGAAGACCTGAAGCAACAAATAGAGTTTAGGGTTTAGGGGCTGAAGGTTTGTTCCCCGGGAGGGGGGGTGGGGGGGCGGGTTGGGCATTGTAGGGTTCAGAGCCAATGGGAATAGCACCAGGCCTGGCTGTCCTTGCCCACAACCACTGCCAGGCCATCTGTCCCGACGTGTAGCTGCGTCACGCCTAGGCAGTTTGCGTGTCGCTTTATATAGATGGCCTCGAAGAAGGATTGCTTAGTTACGCTTATTTATTCTTGGTTTTTGCAACGTGCTTGTGACGAGTTGGGTTTTTATTAATCATCACCAGGTTTCGCACCCCCTCCCAATTTTTGCGCGAAGGCACGGACCTTTGATACAGCACACTCCCAGGTGTAGCCATCGTCCAGGAGCAATGCCTTGCACATGCAGCTGAGAAGCATAGTTGTTCATGGTTGCAGAGGAACATTTTCGGAAAGCTGAGCTGAAAAGCTACCTTGCAATTACCCCTAAACCCTAAACCCTAAACCCTAAACCCTAAACCCTACACCCTAAACCCTAAACCCTAAACCCTAAACCGCAGGCTTCTGTGTCAACTGCCTCCGTCGACTTCCACTCGCGCGACATGTCTCCGATGTCGACCTTAGCCGGGTGGCTTGTTGCTTCAGTATTGGGATTTGGGGTTTTAGGGTTTAGGGGTTTAGGGGTTTAGGGTGTTTCCCCTTCTACAAAAGGTCCTGAATAAGGATTATATTGGCGAGGGCGGGGGGAGGGGGGGTACTATAATCCCAAGTAAGGACTGTTAGTGTAAGGGGGGAGCATCTCAAGCTATCCCAAACGCGGCTGACTCCCAAACCCCCGACGCGCCATCCAGAACCCCTCTGATCCACAGACCGCCCCCACTTGATCATGGGATCATCATAGATAATCCCTAATTGTTAAGGACTACTAGTATAAGGGGGAACATCCCAAACCTATGAACCCCATTCAAAACCCCCTCCCCCAAATCCTGCCCACCCTCCCCAACTAAACCCTAAACCCCTAACCCCTAAACCCCAAACCCCAAACCCTAAACCCTAAACCCTAAACCCTAAACCCTAAACCCTAAACCCTAAACCCTAAACCCAAACCCTCAACTGAAAAGCCCCCAAGCTGCGTGTTCCGGGTGGCTGCTCGGATGGCACACGCGCTGAGCGCCAGCGCTGGATCCCCCACCTCTCCAAAGAAGCTTCCTTTGAGTTTAGGGTTTAGGGCCGTTTAGGGTTTAGGGTTCAGGGTTTCAGGGTTCAAGGTTTAGGGGTTTAGGAGAGTTTAGGTTTCTTGCCACCTGCCTAGCCTGGCTTTCGGGTTTAGGATTCAGGAACTTCGGGGGTTTACAGGTGTAAACCTATTTGAGCGACCATCAAAACTCTTTATGTCGGGCCCAGGTCGCACAAAGGGGGGGGGGGGTGTCGCCCTTCGGTGTTCCCAGTCGCTTTACAGGGGTTCTTAATAGTTGTTGTTGCGGTTCAAACTGGAACCCATCGCTTTACAGGGGTCTGTGTTACGGCCAGCTGACAGCACCAATCACACTGTTGAAGTCAGATATTTTCAATCCCCATCGCCGCAGGAGGAGGACCCTACTCAAACAGGGATTAGCTTCCAGGATTCCAACCGGGTGTTGCTAGGGCGTCGATTTGGCGATTCCCCATCGCTTTTCACAGGGCTTGTGAACTTCCCGCATGCAAATGTCCTCCCAAGGTAAAGTCGCAAATACACACTTGCTCACTTGGTGGTTCCCTGAAAGGGGGTACTCAGGGTTAAGTGTTTCGGGTGCTTTTTGGGGGGGTATGTCGGGGGTGCGGACAATCTGAGCATGTTGATCTTTGCACCTTTCAACCCGCTCAAGAAGGGTGCTCCCCTCTGCTTCTTGCCTGTGCTTCTTGGATCCGTACCCTGAATCGCTGGATTCCACCGCTACGTGTCCAACTGAACGGACTCAACACTGTGCTTCGAGGAAGCTATCGGGTAAAGGTGCCAGTGGTGATCTCATCCCAAGCCACTACATGTTTCGAAGGGTTTGTGCTCAGGCCCTGGCGGCTAAATCCTAGGCCTTGAACACGTACTGCCAAAAAACACTTTTACTCTAAACCGCCCAAAGGCTTTTTTTCGGCCCTCTGACCCCTAAACCCTATAGCCGTAGAGGCCCAACACCCAAAACCCCTTGAGGGTTTAGGGTTTCTGGTTTAGGGTTAGAGTTTAGGTAAAGCCCCGCCGTCGATGGCGATCGCGAAGTCTGAGGCCTTTGGCACAGGCCAGTTGGGTACGGCACTGCCCTTGGAGATGATATATCGTAATATAGAATAATACAAAAAGAATATGAGAATATCGAGCGATATATCATCACATGAACTTGACATAAACACCCTTTCGTGCTTGGGAGACATCCTCACCACGACCCTGCAAGCCCTGAATCTTCAATCAACCCTACACCCAAAACCCGGTTTTACAACCCTAAACCCTAAACCATGAACCCTTTAAACTTTAAACCCCAAACCCCAAACCCCAAACCCCAAACCCCAAACCCCAAACCCCAAACCCTAAACCCTAAACCCTAACTCGGAAGGCCAGGCAGCATTGTCCATGCCATCGGCCCAGGCTCGTGCTACCGGGAAGACCTGCGGCTTTTCGGGTGTTTACGGGTTTAGGGGATTTGGGGTTTAGGGTTTCGGGCGGTTCGGGTTCAATCTTCGGGGTTTATGGGTTTAGGGTACTTATAGCCCTGTTTTTTTGCCACCCGCCTAATAGCCCTGTTAGGGTTTAGGGTTTAGGGTTTAGGGCGGCTCGGGTTCAGTCTTCAGGGTTTAGGGGTTTAGGGGTTTAGGGTACTTATAGCCAGAGTTGAAACTGTACTCCTACAAGCCCTCAAAGTACTCTGAGGTATAGTTGAGGGGTGTGTAACTTTCAGGGCTTAGGATGAAAACTCTAGGATTAAAACTCTGGAATTTAATGCGTTCAGGGCTCAGACCTGAGTGTTGAGGCCGGTGGTGTTCATGCTGGCAGCAAAGTAAGGGCCAAGATTGTCACCCCAAAAACACCGGGTTCACCTAGAATCAGGGCAGCCGCGAAGACTTTTTTGCTGCAGGCTAAAAGACAGGACCTGTGCATCAGCTTCTGCAGCCGCTATAGGCCCGAATCCCGCCTGTCATGCAAGCAACCCTCAACCCCCCCACGTCTGTCACCCTGCAGAGATGTTCATGCTCCAGTTGCTCTAATGTTATCATGAGAGGGGTGGCCGGGAAGGTTAATGACCCTAAACCCCAAACCCCAAACCCTAAGCTCCCCTGAACTCGCGCAACCCAGGCGCGGTTGAAGAGCCGGCGATCTTGATGGTGACTTGGCCGGCCGCCAGCCTTCAATGGTGGTGTATACGGCTAAGAGTGGGGCTGGCGCCAGGGTTGTGGGTTTTTGGGTTTTGGGTTTAGGGTTTATCCGGGTTGACGGGCGTGAGAGGTGCCTCCGACCCAAACTAAACCCACCAGGGAAGCTTGGCCAGAGTCGTCCAGCGAGCCTCGGGCTTGCCATTCTTGCCCGAGCACCCGTGGCCTAAAACCCTAAACCCTAAACCCTAAACCCTAAACCCTAAACCCTAAACCCTAAACCCTAAACCCTAAACCCTAAACCCTAAACCCTAAACCCTAAACCCTAAACCCTAAACCCCTAACCTAAACCCTAAACCCTAAACCCTAAACCCTAAACCCTAAACCCTAAACCCTAAACCCTAAACCCTAAACCCTAAACCTAAACCCTAAACCCTAACCCCTAACCCTAAACCCTAAACCCTAAACCCTAAACCCTAAACCCTAAACCCTAAACCCTAAACCCTAAACCCTAAACCCTAAACCCTAAACCCTAAACCAACCATCCCCCTAAGGTCAAAGAGCCTCAGCTTTCAGGCAAGCGGCTGTAAGCAAGCGCCGAAGAGCAAAGAGGGTCGAAGCATGGGCCTCTTCCAGCTCTTCCTCGTGCGTGGTTAGGGTTTAGGGTTTAGGGTTTAGGGTTTAGGGTTTAGGGTTTAGGGTTTTAGGGTTTAGGGTTTCAGGGTTTCGGGGTTTCAGGGTTTTAGGGTTTTAGGGTTCTAGGGTGTTAGGGTTTCAGGGTTTCAGGGTTTTAGGGTTTAGGGTTCTAGGGTTCTGGGTCTTAGGGTTTTAGGGTTTTAGGGTTTTAGGGTTTTAGGGTTTTAGGGTTTTAGGGTTTTAGGGTTTTAGGGTTTTAGGGTTTTAGGGTTTTAGGGTTCTACGGTTTTAGGGTTTTAGGGTTTTAAGGTTTTAGGGTTTGGGGTGTCGGGTTGAGGGCTGCAAGTGCTCAGAGCTTCTTGGCCGCCATAACGCGTCGGGTTCCATTGGTTCTGGTACAGAGTCTTAAGCTTTGCCCTAAACCAACAAGTAAGAGACCCCAAACATAGAGAAGCGTCCAGATAAGAGGGGTCAGGGCTGGCTACCTGGCGTAGTTGTGAAGTTGGGGGTGTAAGGGTAGGTGAAGGTCGGGTATGGGTTTAGGGTTAGGTACGCTCTGCTATCTTCTGAACTTTAATCCCTGTTCCCCTAGGAAGAAAAAAGGATCCTTCTTGTTTATATATAAGAAAGCCCATAACCCAAAAAGCAAAAAGGATCCCTAACACTGATTTAGTAACCCTAAGCCCACCCTCTCCACAGGGACAAGACACCAGCGGGGCTCCCCCTTTGGGGGCGCTCGGCCATTTCTTCTTCGGCCCGGCTCTTGGGCTGCTTGAGCCCAGGTAGCTCCATGTCAGTTTTTTTTTGGGTTTCTGGGTATCTGAATTTGGGTTCCTTTCTTGGGGTCCTTTTTATAAGGTGCCGTGCCGTGCTATATATAGGCAACCAAAAAACGGATCCTTGTTTAGAGAACTACCCTTCTGAAGCCCACAAACTCTTTGGTGAAGAGCCCCCTTCATATAGGACCAGGATCCGGGGTCTAGCGTGGGCCTTCCCGAAACCCGAAACCCTAATAAACCCTAAAAACCCTAAAAACCCTATAATCCCTATTATAAAGCCTGTAAACCCTATGGTTAACCCTCTAACCCCTCAACCCGAGGCCGCCCTCCACTTTCAAGAAAGCTTCGGGCCTTGGGGGCTTCCAAGCCCTATAAACCCTCCGAAGCCCCTCTCACCCCGACCATGAAGCTCTCAATGAAGATGATACATGGGTTGATCGAGCTGAGGGTTCATAGGGTTAATAAGGGCAGATTTAGGGTTTAGGGTTCATAGGGTTAGTAAGGGTTACTGGGCTTAATCGGGCTACTAGGGTGCTTGGCTTCGTCTAGATCTTCCGTAGGCCCTCAGCCCCACAGCAGCCAAAAGCAGGAGCCCGTGTGCCTTTGCCTGACAAAGATCTCCCTGGCCTCGGTGGCCCAACTGTTTAAAATCCACTTTTACTTCGTGGGGTTTATGGGAGTTTTCTTGGTGCAAAGGTTTTGGGTTTCGGGCCTCTTTCTTTCTTGGGGGCATGGGGTCTCTCTCTCGCGCTGTCCCACTTGAAGGCGCAAGTGAGGATCTATATACCTGCAAGCCCCAAACCCTACACACTTTGAGGCGCCAGTATTTATACACCCCCAGGGGGGGGGGAGC